CTCCTCAATGCTGCTGATCTCTGATGATATTGACTGCTTCGATCTTTTCTTCCCTCTGCTGCTGATCTCTGATGATATTGACTGCCTTGGTGTGTTCTCCTCAATGCTGCTGATCTCTGATGATGTTTCCATTGAGTCAATGGCATTTAAAGCCTCTGTCACCCTGTCTGTGTGGCTGTTAACCTGGTTATTCAGCCACCAGCTTATCAAGGACAGGAAACAAAACACTCTGGTCTGTATGTCTGCATACATGCCCTTATGTGCCTTAGGYACAGCCACTGGACTTGAACTGAGTTCTGCAATCTTTCCAGGTATGATGTGCACATAGATGAGATCAGAAAGCTGTTTTGTGAATGCAAGAACCTTTTCAGATGTGGGCTTTTTCAGTGTTTGGGAAGCACAACCTTCATTTCCACCTCCCTGCTTCTCCTGCTTCAGAAGCACAGCATCAATACTAGCTATCAGTGAGATTATTGCCCGCTTGCTTTTGATTTCAGTCTCCGTCTTGAATTTCTTTGCGACCTGTGTCAGTATTTGGAGCGTCCCTGCTGATGCAAAAGTCTTTATGAAAAGCCTATTGATTGTCCGCATTCCTTTACGGACTGAGGAGCTTGGCTCTTGAGATTCCCTCCCCTTTTTGCTTTCCTTAAGGATTGACTCAACAATTTCATCCAAAGCCTCATAAATCTCTTGAGAAATCGAAGCATTGAGCTTAAGACTGTCATTGAACTCATTAAAGAATGTTGTGATGTCAGTCAAACTATTGTTGATTGTTTCCTGGATAATCCTCTTTACACTTTCTACACTGCTGGTTGGTGAATCCTCTGAGGAAATTTCCGACTTGGAACTGATTTGTGACGAGTGGGAGCTTGAAGAGCTCCTAGCCTTCTGAACAGAATGGTCTGTAGTGTTCTGCTCTTCTGAGGAAATGGAATGACTTAGCCTGTGAGATTGACTCTTGAACAAGCGTTTGATCTGTTTGTCTGCCTTTAACGTCTTGCAGGCATAACAGATCATCTCCTGGAGTTTATTTGGGTTAATGGTGCGGGATGGTATCCCAGAGCTCACACAGGCTGAGCTTGTAGACAAGATGGAGTTGACAGTCTCCGTCACCTCCTCTACAACAAGGTCTGTGAGTTGATCCAAACTCTTAGAACGTTTTGTGTTGCCTGGTGAAAAACCGTTATTGACAGTGTCGCCCAGAATGGACTGAACCCTTTCCTGAGACACAGGTACTAGGGTACTTTGCTTCGAAATGGCATTGGAAACGTTCATCATTAAGTTCAGCAGAAGATCTGCCAACAGTATTGTTGTGGCTTCATCCGGTTTGCTTGACTTCAACAGCGTCCACTGCTCCGCGGTGATCTTCTTAAAAAAGGAATTGAAGTATGGGCGGACAGTCTCAGCATTTATGTCTGACTGGTTACCAGATTTGAGAGTCTGTGTCTGAGTTGTCTCCATTGCAACTGTTGTATCAATATGTGTGCGCAAAAAAATAGTTTTCTTTGAGCTGTTCACGCTTGCGTTTTCCAAAGTGTCTTGTGAAGAATCTTCTGTTTTTGCCAATTGGCTGGTTGCTTAAGACTGATTCTTCACTTCCTTTTTGTCTTTGACTAAAGGATGATTAAAGGAATTTAAGCATGATAGGTAATAAAGGCAAAGAAATCAAAAGAAAGGAGTTTGAAGGAATTGAATGATCAAAGGAAACTGCCAGTGAGAAGCAGCCCCACCCCTCAACTGTGACTGTAACAAAGGCAGACAAAAAGGTAATCACTCATTGAACTACAGTGGGTACGGAAAGTATTTAGACCCCTTTAAATGTTTCACTCTTTGTTTCATTTCAGCCATTTGCTAAAATCAAAAAAGTTCATTTTATTTCTCATTAATGTACACTCAGCACCCCATCTTGACTGAAAAAAACAGAAATGTAGACATTTTTGCAAATTTATTAAAAAAGAAAAACTGAAATATCACATGGTCATAAGTATTCAGACCCTTTGCTCAGTATTGAGTAGAAGCACCCTTTTGAGCTAGTACAGCCATGAGTCTTCTTGGGAATGATGCAACAAGTTTTTCACACCTGGATTTGGGGATCCTCTGCCATTCTTCCTTGCAGATCCTCTCCAGTTCCGTCAGGTTGGATGGTGAACGTTGGTGYASAGCCATTTTCAGGTCTCTCCAGAGATGCTCAARTGGGTTTAGGTCAGGGCTSTGGCTGGGCCAGTCAAGAGTGGTCACAGAGTTGTTCCGAAGCCACTCCTTTGTTATTTTAGCTGTGTGCTTAGGGTCATTGTCTTGTTGGAAGGTGAACCTTCGGCCCAGTCTGAGGTCCTGAGCACTCTGGAAGAGGTTTTCTTCCAGGATATCTCTGTACTTGGCCGCATTCATCTTTCCTTCAATTGCAACCAGTCGTCCTGTCCCTGTAGCTGAAAAACACCCCCATAGCATGATGCTGCCACCACCATGTTTCACTGTTGGGATTGTATTGGGCAGGTGATGAGCAGTGCCTGGTTTTCTCCGCACATACCGCTTAGAATTAACACCAAAAAGTTCAATCTTCGTCTGATCAGACCAGAGAATCTTATTTCTCATAGTCTGGGAGTCCTTCATGTGTTTTTTGGCAAACTCTATGCAGGCTTTCATATGTCTTCCACTGAGGAGAGGCTTCCGTCGGGCCACTCTGCCATAATGCCCAGACTGGTGGAGGGCTGCAGTGATAGTTGACTTTGTGGAACTTTCTCCCATCTCCCTACTGCATCTCTGGAGCTCAGCCACAGTGATCTTTGGGTTCTTCTTTACCTCTCTCACCAAGGCTCTTCTCCCACGATTGCTCAGTTTGGCTGGACGGCCAGGTCTAGGAAGAGTTCAGGTCGTCCCAAACTTCTTCCATTTAAGGATTATGGAGGCCACTGTGCTCTTAGGAACCTTGAGTGCTGCAGAAATTCTTTTGTAACCTTGGCCAGATCTGTGCCTTGCCACAATTCTGTCTCTGAGCTCCTTGGGCAGTTCCTTCGACCTCATGATTTTCATTTGCTCTGACATGCATTGTTAGCTGTAAGGTCTTATATAGACAGGTGTGTGCCTTTCCTAATCAAGTCCAATCAGTTTAATTAAACACATCTGGACTCCAATGAAGGAGTAGAACCATCTCAAGGAGTATCAGAAGAAATGGACAGCATGTGAGTTAAATATGAGTGTCACAGCAAAGGGTCTGAATACTTATGACCATGTGATATTTCAGTTTAACTTTTTTAATAAATTTGCAAAAATGTCTAAATTTCTGTTGTTTTCAGTCAAGATGGGGTGCTGAGTGTACATTAATGAGAAATAAAATAAACTTTTTTGATTTTAGCAAATGGCTGCAATGAAACAAAGAGTGAAAAATTTAAAGGGGTCTGAATACTTTCCGTACCCACTGTATATTCATTAGCATAGTATTAGGCTTTGGTTTCACAGACAATAGCTGCTTGCTCCATCCACTCGGATCTACTGACGGACGGGTCGTCCTGCTGGGAGCTCTGCTGGGGTTGGGTTTGTGTCCGTAGCGTATTCGTGCCATATGGTGCAACACTCCCGCCCTTCTGCGCGTAGCAAAAGTCTGCAGTCAAGTGTGTGGCTTGTCTCTCACCAACACTCCCTGGAGTAGTTCTGCTGTTTTGGCTCTGTGGGTTCTGTTGGGATCTGGTCGTTCTGCCCTACGCTGGTTCTGGTGCTGGCTGGTCGCTTTATTCACGGCATTCACCCGTGTTGATCGGCTGGTGGTGTAACCTTGGGCAGGCAATGTCTGATGCCACTATTTTTAACCATTGATATATTAATTTGGTTTATTTGGTTTTGTTCCATTTCTATAAATTGTAGGTATTTTGTAGTTAATTTGTGGATTACTTGTTTTTCTTTCTTTGAGTGTGGTTATTTTATTTTCTATCATTGGTCCTGAGTGTGTGCATGTGTGTGGATGAATGTGTTTTAATAAGTGACCATTGCTGTTTCCTTTTGGCTATCAGTTTACATTTTATGCACCCGTGGCATGATTTTAACTTTTCTTTTTGTGTTGGATAGGTGCTGTAGGCCCCAGGCAGCAGCCCAACTCCCTGGTGGTGGTGTTCTTCACGATTCCCTTTTTGAGTTGGTGTGCAGTGTCACGGCTGTGGTCCCGTCCCCATTTTAGTTCCCTGCTGCTGTGGTAAGCCCCAGCCCTGTCCTTCCTCCCTTTTGATCCCTATGGCTGAGTGCCATTTTATCCTGTCCTGCCTGGTATCCTGATAGCCAGCGTATTGTTTGTTTTTCTATTGTTCAGTGTTAATTTCATTTGTGTTTAATAAAATGTATTTTTTATATGGAATGCTCTCTGCCCCTGTGGATAATTGAACATGTGTGATCCTTAAACCATTCCCTCTCTAATTTCCTGGGGGTGAAACTCCCCCAGGTGGCGTTGTTGCAACCAACCACAACGCAGTCTGCCACATTCATCACATGATTGAAGCAGCGCAGCTCAAGTTGGCTGCATGAACTAGCTCGCAAGCATCGCTCCACCAATGGCTGGAGAGCTCACTTAATATTTGGCGGTTTCTTTATTGGTTTGACTGTGGGGCTGCACATTTAAAAAAATAGCGCAATGTTCATGAGAGGAGCCCCTCTCTGTCTCTGGTCCCCTTCGCTGACAAAAAGTGTCCTTGGAACTGAGCTCAATGTTTTGGAGGGGAAGGCATTGGCAGTAGTTCTCGTTAGCCGTTTTCAGACATGACCTTTAGGTAAAACCTGGTGAATTGGCTGCAGAGTTTACGCTTTGTCTGCCTTTCACACATGCACAACGCAGCGGGAGTGCTGCTGATGTCGTCACATGCTCCTTTGGTGTGGTGTATGCGCTCGTTTGTAAGTGACGCCGCTTTGAGTCGAATTTGAATCTTTGGGTTTACAGACACTTGGATGACACACACACTGCTTAATGGTATTGAGATAATGATTTTAGCCAGCCCCCTTCACTCTCCACAAAAGTAGCTCTGGAAAAAATGTAAGCCTGTCTTTGTGGTATTTTATTTTATTTACTGATGCATAATGTTATAGTTCTAAGATTTTCAATTAAAATAAAGTCAAAAATGACATTTTTTGTGTTCTCTTTTTATTTGGAAAAGTACCGAAAAATATCAAAATATTTGTTGGCACAGGTACCGATACCGAAATGTTGGTACCGTGAGAACACTAGCTTGTGACACATATTCAGAGGGATTTTTGCGGAGTCCTGCATGTGATGGCCTCTCCCTGGGTCTCCTTCTCTACACAGTTTAGCAGGGATCCACCATCAGACGTGGGTTGGGTACCGAAATCTGCTTCCTACACGGCAGATTCTCTCTGGACCGAATCCAATGCAGATTTCAGTGCCTGAGCTCTGTACTGAAATACTTGTCCTGCTTACAGGAAACACAAACATCAGCCTATGTGTTTAGTTAACTTTTACTGGAACTGACCTTATTGACTGACTAAGTCTTTATGGCTCATACACAGCAGGCATGTAAGGGTTACTGCAACTTCACAAACATATAATGTGCATGTCATCCAAATTCATCAATGAGAGGAAATCATTCTGAAGCCATTTGCATCATCTGCAGAAACCTTGTTGATATAGTTTAAGCTTTATGCTTCATGGATATAAACTTTGACAGCCCAGGACGTTGTAAGTGCAGTGAAGTGGATTAACTGAAGCCTCACAAATGTCACAACTTGTTTAGAGTATTCATTCAGATTATAAACAACCACCTCTCGCTCACATCGATATTTGAACTTGAGTGACATTTTCTAATGTTACAGATCTTAATATATCAGTTCTGGGAAGTAAATAACTTCTATGATTGCATGAAAGTTAGAACATGAAGTTAGGGGGTTTACTGAGGACCAAAAACAAAGATCATTTCTAGTGTGAGGACAAAGTGCACATGATCTATCCACCTGTGCAGGTCTCATGTTCAAGATCAAGCTGATCATCACAAAAACTATACAGTATCTTATTAACATTATAGTTTTGATATTATAAATAGATTATAGTTGAATATTCAGCATCACTCTAGGATATTTGGGATAAAAATTCACTCCAGGGACTTGTATTTACTGAGTTGGCAGGCATTATAGCTGAGAAAGTAGGAGACTGAGAAGTGATGCAGGGGAAGGGGGGCACAGGACAGAATGTTCTGGATGGAAGCAGATCTAGGCCAGCTGAGGCATGAGCAGCTCTCACAGCTTTCACAGCTCTCAAGTCTTAACCGCCAAATTGTCGCTGAGAATTTCCACAGTCATTCAAACCTTTGTAGACTGATCTCTAAGCAGTGCTGGATGGAAATCAAAACAAGCAGACTCAGGGCTGAGTCTAAAGTGATGCTATTTTTGATTGGAACAAATATAGTTAGTGGCATTTTTAAACAGTGAGTAGAATCAGGTGAGAGATACAGAGGAAAGATGTCTGTGCTGAAATGTGTGGAGCATGTGCTGTTCAACCTGATCTTAAGTCTCAGTTCGGTTATTTTGTTATTGACAACTTTTATTTTGATGTAAAAGATCCACTATCTATCAAATTGATTCGATTTGCAATAACAATTCTACTGTATCAGGACTTTGTGGTGTGACATAAGGCCAGTGTTTGCAAATGCAACACAAAACTGTCTCCACAATATAACAAATTTAATACTGTACGATACAGTTCTGTGTGTGTTTGAAACACAGCCACTTTGTGTGTGGACAGTAATATGTGAGGTGAATTGATGTGGCTTTACTTTTCTACTTGGTAATTGTAGTCTGTTGTGCGAGTAAAAACCATGTCCCTGTCTGCATAGAGACTATAAACAGACAGACAGACTTTTTTTGTTCTCTCATTGGTGATTTAGACATTTTTTAAATCCAATATATATTTATGTTTGTATAAATTAAAGATAGTTGAGCTGCTAATTTCACTATATTGACGTATTTGTGCAGTTGTAACGTCCCTGTAATAAAGACCAAGTTTATCTGAAAGCATTAAGCTTGCCTACAATGCAGCGAGTCATTTGCTTTACACATACCTGTTGTTTTCAGAGACGGCAAAAGATGTTCATCCATGCTACAAAACTATCGACATCTGTAGCATCAGTGCCACGTGTGAAAAAAGTCCTACACAGCCCTGTGTATACAGAAGGCAGAACAGGGACTCACCTTGCAGGTCCAGGACCAGGGGGTCTGGAGCGCTTTCACACATCAGAGACATCCTGATCACTTGGACATTGGGGACACCGGGGTCTGTGACAGGAAACAGATGGTTCAATGCAGAAGACTAATTTGCTCTAAGACATGAAATCTTAGACTCTGTTTTGATATCATGTAGGTTTGTGTACATGACCTACTTTGTCCTAAAAGCCATTTTGATGAAACGATAACTTCAATGTCACACTTGTGTGGAAGCATGCAGAGACTTAAGAGCAGACTCCAAACATTTACAGGAGGCCTGCAGCTGTCCAAGTGCACAGGCCCGAGGGAGATGAAAGCAGAACATCTCTGCAGTAGTTGGGACAGACTCTGCATTAATTAGACTTCAGGTTATTCTCAGTCACACAGAAGAAACCTTCCATCTTCACTGAGCCAGAATACTGATCATCAGAGGCTCTGCAAACCAGAAAATACTGCACCCGCACTAATGAATGCATGTAGAGGACGTTAAGCTGTAGGAGGTGAAAGGTTAAGATGGCCCCTATTGATTTTACTTAACACTAATCATTTCAACCATCCCCAGCAGATTTACTCAACTGTGGCTAATAAGCATTGATTCTGTTAGAAATAGGAACAAGTTGTTGGCTGGTTAATGTGCTCTTTTCATGCCTGAGTCTGTATTATTCACACATGGTGATTGCAGGTATGTGAAAGAACAAAGATCTGGCTTTTTGCTGTTCATAAAAGAGTATTTGTCCACAGTAAGCGTGAAGGTGATCGCTGCATGTCATTGATTTCATCACCTTAAAAGCTCTGAATGTGGAGTACCAACACTTAGTGCTGTGAATCAGCCACACCCAGGAGACGACAGGCGACAGAATTTGACAAGGAAGATGAATGCATTGAATAAATAAAGATGACATCTGTGGTTCTTCTGACTAAGCTTCTTTTTTTAGACTGTCCCCTAAGTGTCCAATGCTAGGACTGCAATGCAGAATGTGGAGCACTTTTTTATTAGCATAACTTAACATAAACACATCTTAAAATATTGAAAATTCAAATGCAAGGGGAAAAAATACAACAAGTTATATTCTTCTGCTTATGGTAAATGGTTTGTATTTATATAGCCTTTATCAAGTCTTGATGACCACTCAAAGCGCTTTACTTATCTAATTAATTTCACTACAGCAGTTTAAATACAAATGAGACCTCAAAACATAAGACTAATCAGAGGCATCCATTACAACTCATAAGCAAAACTGAGAATGTGCTCCACAGAAAGGTATATTTGGAATTTAGGCCCCTACGCTACTTTAAGTGAGCCAGCTTTTGATTTAACAATCACTAATTTCCTGTTTCTAACTTTGTCATGTCGACCACCACCCTTCCTTTTTCTCTATCATACACACACACACACACAGAGCATTACCAGCCACAGTGACCCCAGCGCCGAGCAGGGCTTCCTTATATTTGCGTAGGCTCTCATCATCCTTATCCAGCTCGTGAATCTCTTGCACCGTCTTTTGGGCTGGTGGCTTGTAGTTCACCGGCTCAGGCTCCTCATTTTCGGCGGCAATGGCTGCTAGCTGCTCTGGAGTCACCTCATCCTCAGCCATGTCTGGACAAAGATTATGTGCAGGGAAAGGGAAAGACATGTCACATTAAAAGGATAGAAAAACATATAGCAGGTTAGGGTTTGAGAGGAAAAAAGAAAAATTGGAAAAACAGTTTGAGGTGGACAACATGACGTTAATTCTTCTCAAATTCCCTGATAGACACTTGCCTCTTTGAGGAAAGGTTGTAAATCACTGGACAAACAGATGACCACAGCAATGACGCCAGCGAGGAATGCTGATGGAAAGTGTCCAGCTTACTGGATGTGCTGCTGCTCTGTGGATGTTCGGGTAACACAGCAGCATCAGCGTTTCTCTTTATGCTGCTGTTGATGACCGAACTCTGTCGATGTCATCTGTACATATTTCTCTGAAATTACATCACCGCCAGGAGAGTTGTGAATGAGGCGTCATGCATCACATGATGCAAAGCCTCTCCCTCCAGGGGTGGTCCTTCACAGGCCTAGACATTATTGAGGTCAGAAGAGAAGGACTGTGTTCCTATGGTATGAAGAAAATTAGCCCACAGGGCATCACAGTGGGTTTGAGTTTCATTTTGACAACAAATAAACTTGCTTGTTCTCTCTGGATTTCTCTATCATGGGTTGTGTCTTGCTGAAGACGTTGGTTTTGAGAAAAAAAAGGCCTCTACAGAAACATGACACGGAGATAAACAAAGCCAGGAGGAGCACTGTTGATACCAAAAGACGATTCACTTTGAAGCCAGCCCACCCGCAGCACCTCACTGACCCAACAGGCCCAGAATACCTGTTTGAGTCACACCGCAACCATTTTGATTTCACTGTATATATTATGTTTACACTGTATATATTAGTTTTTACTTCATTTAGATGTTTTTTTATATAAGATAAGTATTGCATGCTACTTATTATTACTTTACTGATGTTTATTTTTGACTGAAAATCATTAGTTGCAATCAAGTGGCGAAATAACTGTCAGCCAAATAAATATTTGACATGTTTACATTACACAACAACAGGAACCACAGATATGCTTTCTGCAACCACTCTTAGACATTAAATGGTGGTGACGCATCTCTGCTTTTAATTTTGACAGCAACAGTAGAGATAAAAAGGGATGTTACAGGTTTGTGTTAAACCAAGAGAGCTGACAGTGCAGCCCACAGTGCCAACGTTTAAAAACATACACTGCTGCACAAGTAACTGTAGATCTAAAATAAGTGGTCAATTACTGATGGACATTGAAAAACTGGAAAGAGGAGACAAATATTGTTATGAAAAATGTCTTATCTTGAGTTGTCATAACTGGTGTACATAACAAATGTAAAATAGGGCTGAGGACCAGTGAAAGACCAGAGACCACATACAGAGTCCCCCATCTGGGGCAAAGTGAGAGTCAATGAACATACCTTTCTGCGGGGCTCGCCTCTGACCTGCCCAAACTTGCAGCTGTCAGAGGAAATATCTGAACACAGTAAAGGAGCCAACTCTTCACTGAACACCCCTTGAATCTCACAATGACTCCACTCTATGCATAACTAAATTTGATATATCCAAAAGAGCCAAAATTTAGATCAAGGCCATTTGGAATGACAGGAGGAACGTAGGTGGTGGTGGGGGGGGAGCTTCAGAGTAGATGCATTATGTAACTACTGGCATTAAATCCTCTGTCACTGTGATAAAAAAAAATCAAGGGGTTCCACATCCCTTTACTTGAGGTGGAAAGAGGAATGTAGAGACAGTAGCAGGACATGCGTCTGAATGATTTGTATGTAACACACTAACAACAGTGTCCGGTCTCACTGGTCGTCTGCTTTGTTTGCACAGTGCAAGGTTCACAGGGACATGACTTAAGATGGAACCTTCAGCTCAGCAACACAAAACATCAACGTTAAGATATTCAGGATTGGACTGGAAGGCAGTTTATCAGGCCCACCAAGGAAGGAACTGCTCACTAAAATAAGACAGGAAGCTAGAAAGTTCAAATTCACTGACAGGAGTGCGGAGGAGGCTGGAGACAGACTTCACCTCTGCCTGTCTGGGCCTCTTCTGAGTGGATCTCCTTCAGTATTAGAGATCAACAAAGGGCAGGTCTGCGGGAGTAGGTGCCAAGTCTTCATGAACAACTGCCAAGTTCACGGAATTCATAGAGGAAATCTCCACTCAGGAATGTTGATCTGCACATATCTGGACACATCCATCATAACAAATCACAGCTGTCAGATATAAGTGTAACTAACAAATCAGTGTTTCCTGTAAAAGCAGGCTGTGCTGACATGATCGTTGCCTCTTCTGTCCAGCATTGCTGTCAAGAAGCTAACCGCAGCTGCCATAAACCAGCTGCTCACCATCATGACTGTGTGTGTGGGGGGGGGGGAGCTTTCTGCCAATGTAGACTGGAATCTATTCAGACCACACCGCTGCTTCTGACAGCTCGCCGAGGCTAGCAGCAGCTTTCTGCAGAACTTAGCTTGTCTGGGTGATTACATTTCTATCCGACAGCGGGACTGAACTTCTGTCGACGCAGACCCTCACACACAGGGCGGGACCGAGCCGAGACAAGAGGCGAGTTGCGGCTTCTATGGGAACAATCCAGAAAGCTAACAGGAGCCGGCGGCTAGCGTTAGCTCGACAAGTTATCTCCAGCTGACGGAGGCAGAGAGGGACTGAGCGGGTTTGAGTGACGGGCTCCGGACAGAGTCGCTCCAGCAGCGCTGTTTGCTCCCGCCGCTGCTCGGAGGACACTTACCTTCTTGTTAGATGCAGCGGTGGTCTCCGGTGCCTCTGCAGTTAGTGCGGTCTCTGCGCTACTGTGCAAGTATGGCGAACAAGGGGCCGGCGCCGCCCCGCGCGCTGCACGCGCAACACGGTTCCCGGAGACAGGTACGCGCACGCAGGTGACGTACCGGGCGGTGCCGCGCGCCGCCAGAGATCCCGGTGTGATGTGTGTTTTCTGCAGCGACAGTTTCAGGCTCCTTCACTCTCCAGATCTCTCTCTGCATGGTGTAAGCACACTGCAGGAAAAGGTACTACTGTTGTTCTCCCCAACATTTGACCACAATATTTACAATGGATGACTCATTGCATTTGTCCCATGTCTGATGGTGATATCTGCCATCTTACAAACTGCACGTTTACAAAATTCTTTAAAAAAAGTAATAAAATTGCTGCAGTATTGATCTGACATGGCCTGGAGCTCGTGGTGGCTATAGTTTACAGGCGGATTCATTCCATCCTGCAGCAGTAAGACTGTACAACCAGCTCCCAGTGGGACGACACACACTTTAACTGTGCAGTACAATGGTTCGTGTGCAATCCATGCACATTCTTGTATTTACACTGCATATGAGTTTTTATGCCATTAATTTTTTTTTATATCCCTCACACTTTTGGACCCCACTTTTTGCTTACTGATGCCTGTTTTTGACTCTTGCTGGAGTAATATAAAACATTTTTCAATTCAGGGACTAAATGATTCTTATGATCGATGTGAAACAGACATTTCCTCTCACTACTTGTGTCACTATTTGTTTACCACTAAATTACTCACTTGACAACATTCAGTAAAATAGACCCACATCAGATACTAGCAAAACAGTATAGGTGTACTTCTGCTTCAATTTGGTTCAGTTAATGTAAAAGAAATAAAGATGCTCCAGTGACTTAGCGAGGGATGAAAAAAGCCAACAAGGCTGGGACGAGCTGGTTAATATGCTTACTTCATTAAGAGGTAAATAAGTGACTGGCAAGTAAAATCTATTACTACCAACATTGGCTAAACTTACATGTGGCTCCTTACAAGGCACACTCACGGTTAAAAAACACTGGAAAAGACATTTCAATAATGTATTTATATACAAAACCCTTTGAAATACATTTAACATGAGCATACAGTACCAAGTGACAGAGCTGATGTTCATTAGCATTTTAACAGCACATTGAACAGCAAATCAAACCACTGAATCTGGTTTATATGATAATTAAAAAAATACAACATGTTGCAGGTTTACGGTAATTGTCCAAACGTTAAGAAAAGAGCACATGAGCTGATGGCCTAAGAGAAAAATAATCAAAAAACCTGCCCCAGACAAATTGCTACAAAAAAGTCAAAATAATCCAAAGGTCCATACAATAAAATGGCTGCATTAAAGTCCAATCCACCATATCACATTAACCTGATTGTTTATAATGTCCAAAATGTTTTTTTAAAAATTGAACCATAACAGCATCCTCTGTTCTTCTAACTGGTGTCCATCTGAAACTAAAACAAGAAAAGTGATTACTACATTTTCAAGAGATGTTTACAGTAGAGATATTTAAGAACATTTTACTCCATCAGAGTAACTACCTTGGCATTGTAAGCATCCAGCTGGGCATCCAACTCCTCTGCAGAAAGCTGGGGTCTGTTTCCACCTCCACCTCCTCTTCCACGCCCTCGGAAACCACCACCGCCACCACCACCGCCGCCTTGCCTCTTTTCACCTCGGTCCCTCCTTTCAAACTTGGGTTGACCGAGTCTGCTCCGGTCAAAACCTCTGTTGGAACTATAAAAACACCAAAGAGATAAGCCATTCGCAGCGGAGGTGTTACTTTTGCAGCAAAATAAACCCCATTAATCTCCAACCGGTTATATTGTAGCTGTTCTTCCCCATATTCAATTCAATTGTATTTGTATAGCGCCAAATCATAATATATATTATCTCAAGGCACTTTACATAGAAGACCATAAAATATGATTTAATATACAGAAACCAAACAGTTCCCACATGTCTATCCTACAGCCAGAGTACATGACATACCTTTGTGTTGACGGTCTATGTTCATCGACCTCTGACGTCAATTGCTGGATTTTCATGGGACGGCCTAACAAATTAATAAAAACAAATGAAAAATGTGTAAGAGAACTTAACATGCTTAAAGAAGCAAGGACAACAATACCACTGTAGAATGAGACCTGAATCCTCACCATCAAGTGGGACACCATTGTAGTGCTTCATGGCTTTTTGTGCATCTGCCTTATTTTCAAAGTGAACATCTGCCGTTCCTTTACTGCGGCCAGACCGATCATAGTGAACAGATGTTTTCTGTAATGGACCAAACTCTGCAAACAGCTCCTGTGGACAAAATTTAAAATGTCAGTCAAATTCACAACACAAAGACGTTGCCAAATTGGGTTCAGAGTTTTGTGTATTACCTTAATATCTGATTCGGAGACACCAAAGTCGAGATTGGAGACCAGCAGTTTGCCGTTACTCTCTACACTCCTGTCACGTCCGGAGCTCGGTGCCCTGCGTCCACCGACATGATCCTCAAACATGTCATGCTGCCATTTGTCTGGTAACTCTCTGGGCTGTGAGGAGCAAGAAAAGCCGTCAACACAGTCTTCGGAATCCACATGTTCTGCCAAACATTTACAAGAGATGGGCCGGCGCAGAGATTACTCAAGAAAAGTGACTGGGCCACAAATTCAAAAGCACCAAATGAGTAAGATGCTTGATTGTGAGAGCTTTATTAAGAAGCAATCTTTGGTAATTTTGGTTCCATTTGTCATAGAACTAGTCAGTGTACACAGTAACTTTTGTGCTTACATTTTTAAACTTTTTTTTTTTTTTAACAGAAACAGAATAAATGTATTAGAGACAGCACAATACTACTTTTCAATGGTTGTCTCTGGGTGTAAACTGTTATGATAAAGGTTGTGAGGATTATCAGAAAGGCCAGTAGTTTGAGGCCTAATAATCTAACTCCTGAGACTATACCCAGTTGGGTAGTGAACAGTTTAGGGGTCATCCAGCGTTTCCACGGGAAGAGTCTGAAGATGGATGTTTGATTTTCCTCGGAGAAAGAAAGAGACATCTTCCCAGTTAGGTAGCGGTGGAGTACATAGAAAGAACGGGCTTGAGTTAGCGGCGTGTTCTCCCTGTTGCCATTTGAGACTACACATCCAGCTCACAGTGACCTCCACTCTATATGACTGGGGATACTTTTTTTTTTTTTAACTCTTGAAACTAAACTGAACACACGCTGGGTGAAGTGTGGCTCACCGCTCCTCCTCACCTGACCCCTTGTGCTGAAATAAAGAACCACGCATGGCAGCCATCTTGACAAAGGAAACATCCATCCTCTCGGTCGGGGACGTGTTTATAAAACTGTTTCACCTCGGTGGTGTTCAGGTTTTTAAACGGCGAAAATGGAAACGAGCCACTGGTGAAAAAACACCGAGACACTCCGCGTGGCTGTGCGAAGCGATTCGGGGGAAGAACGGATATCTCCGTCCATTATAATTACACCACGAGACGGATACAAGAGGGAGCTCAACAACACGTCGTTTTACATTTAGGCTCCGTTTCAGCAGATTCGGTTTCATACCCTGGTGTACGGTGCGGGCCTGTTGTTCCTCTCACGGTTGAAGTTACTCTGTCGACCCCGCGTTTGCCTCGACGAGCCACCGGCCCGACCTGAACTCGCACCGGGCCCAGACGATCCTCCGCCGCGGCCGCTGCCTCCTTTCTTGTTCATCTTGATAATGTCGTCCAGAGACATGTTCATCTTGTCCGACATCGTGGTGCTGGGGCCTGGAAGTGGCGCCGAGGACGAACAAAGAGCTTTCAGCGTGAAGAAGCGGTTCAGAGGTTATTTACTTCTCCGGCGGCGCGGGTGTTGAAACGACCGGAAATGAATAAATAGGATACGGAAGTGACGAAGTCCCGCCCCGCCATTTTTTGAATAAATCTTTATTGAACAAAACATACAGAACAGTTCCGCACGCTGGTATTAGAGCAGGAAAGTTCATGTGACTTCAAAGTTGGAAACATGTTGCAAATAGTTAATATGAGATTTCAATAAGAACGTTCTTTTTGAGGCGAGGTAGCATGTAAACTTAAACAGTAAAAACACAATAAGGCAATCATTAAAAGTTCTGGTATTACACATGCAAAGCAGAACAGGCCTGAATTAAAAGTTAATTTGAGGCAGAACATCCACAATAAAACAGAATGGGGAGAAGCGGGATAAAGACAGACAAGGAACAATTAATGTGACAGTTAAGATTGAAAATGAAGGTGAGTTTGTCACACAGATATTATCAATTCATCATTTTACCTGCAACTTAGTCTGAAGCAGTGTATTGTTTTTGACCCTGTGTGTGTGTGTGTGTGTGTGGATGCAATATTTTTGATGTATGACTCTACGACTGTTTGACTGTATGATTGCTGTCAGTTCAGGTTTTTCTCATTCCTTTCTCTATAGCATAGTGTATTTTTATTTTAAACTTTTTTTTTCCTTACAGACCTTTTATCTATTTATTTTTCACCTGCACTGTAAAGACTGCACCTTAATTTCGTTGTACAATGCCACATTGTTACAATGACAATAAAGATTTCTGATTCTGATTCACATGGAGTTGTCCCACTTACACAGTGGTAGATTTACATTTACATTTAGCATGACTAAATGTGTACAAGTTCTTCAAATTTACGTATTTTGTCCTTCAATTGGCAAATGATGGCCTGCCTGTTATTCCTCTCCTTCCTCATCCTCTTTAAATGAGTTGATGTCCACTCCTTTAAATATATATATATATATATATAAGCCTTGGAGTAGTCTCCCACCACACATTGGGTCTTTTTCTACCATCGAAAAATCATTTTAATTTCGCTTTTGATTCTGCCTGATTCTGTCTTCTGGTTCTGCTGTTTACTTTTATTGCATCTTCCTCTGGCACCATTTTGACTTACTTTGAATCCATATTGTATTGTTTTTCCTTTGTCCCATTTAAGGCACTTCAACTCCTGTTGACTTTCACGGGCTATATAAATAAATCTGACTTGATTCTTTACTTACATGAGGTCACACCTGTTTAAAAACACACTCAGGCCTCAGGTATGTTTAATATATATATCTCTAGTTAAAGTGTATGATGTGGCATTATCCAAAATGCATGGTACGTTTTTATGTTGGCGTCTTTAAAGACCCTCTGAAGAGTCTCTGTGTTTGATCTCTGATGTGACATCAGCAGCGTCCAGCACAGGAGCAGCAGGGAGCCCAGTGAATCTGTTTGTTTCACAGCAGGTGAATAACCTGTGACCTATGAAGCCTCTCTAGTGGTGGCAGAATGGTTCAACGTGTTTTCAGTCAAGTAAATAGTATGCACACAGACACAGATGGGTCGTTGTGGGACTTTTCTGCTTTGAAATGTTTTTGGATGAGCTTTTGTGATACCAGAGTGTGAGTGGTTGCATCTGACATGATTGTATCACTGCAGCAAGATACACAATGCTGTTGTCACTGTGGCTGTGTGTGATTGGATGTGACACTTTGTTGCAGGGTTTGTTGAAACATATTGCAGGGGTCTTGAAAACTGCAAGGTAACAGATTGTGAGGGAATTCCAAATGTATTTTAAAGTGATATAAAACTTATTTAAGGAAATGCATGAATAACAATCATACTGTGACCCTCTCCTTGAAATCGTATGAAATGTTCACTTCTTCATTATTGGATCTCCTCAAAAGAGGATTGAGACATGCTCAGAGTGCTGTGATCTGGATGTTATTGGTTATATCTCACATCTCCTACCTTCATATGATGAGCACTACATCATGTGACCACACATCATTATGCCACTTCCAGAGGATGTTCCCAGAATTAACAATCAACAGAATAATATCGACTCCACTGGCACCTTTGAAGAGAACAGAGGAAGGACTCATTCATTCAAAATTCGACTTTATTTGAAATTTTCCCCAATAAATGTTTGTCTGGTTCACTTGTCTCTCAGAGTCCTTTGGGTTTTATTGTTGCAGATCCAGGATCATGGCTATGGCCACATCATGCATCATTTTGGCAGCTGACCATGGATTATGATTACGACCAACGAACGCTGATTCCAACTAGATTGCTCAGATATGAAATATGCCCTCTCACATACACCACCATTACTGGCAATACCTCTATCATTTTAATTGTCATTGCTGCTCCCTGCATCTCTGTCAGACATTTTGTTTTGTATAAATGTTTTAAAGGTCCAGTGTGTAAGATTTAGGTGAAAGGGAACTATTGGCAGACACTATACCCCAGAAAAGACCCTTTATATTTAAATACTTTATATTTACATCGAGGGGGTCCTCTCTACGGAGGCCGCCATGTTTTTTACATTAGTCCAGACTGGACAAACTAAACACCTTTTGAGTTTTTATGACAATTAAAGGCTACCACAGTTTCTTTTTCATGTTTGGAAGGAGAGGGTGAGGTGAGGGGTGTTCAGCTGCAACATGAAATTTCAACACTAGATATCACAAACACGCTGTACCTTTAAACATTGATACACCTCTCTATTTATGTTAGACACTGTCTTTTCTAATGAATGCTGTAAATAATGTTACTTTGTTGATGTGCTCTGTTATGCCCAACATATACTGCACTTCTGTCTGTCCTGAGAGAGGGATCCCTGACTTTCGTTGAGTTTCTACATTTTTCTTTGGTAGTCTTTCCTCACTTGTGAATACGGGCTATACAAATAAAAGGTGCAGAACAACAGTGAGCCTGGTCTCAGTCAAAACACTTGACTTTCAAAAGTTGCTCAAAACAAAATGAACTGTAAATGTATTTCAAAGCATCAACAGGTTATAGAATTTTGAGAGTGAAACATAATTCGATGAAATAGAACTGAACATTCTACAACTCCCAAAACTGCCTTATAGGCAACGACTTGTTTCACTGATCCTGGAATGAACACTCATATTTTTCAAGATTTTGGAGTAAACTCTGCTGAAATGGACAAAATAAGAAAACTGGTATGATTTTTAAACATTAATTTTCTATAATCTCAACCAGTCTGTTTCTTCATGTTATTAATTCATGTTTAATCTAAAGCTTTTGGAGTTAATGCATTAACATTTCTAATATCCAGTAAGCTTCACTGACAAATACAGTACGTTTAATATAGTTTGATAGAAATATAAACAGAAAAGGATGATTTTATGATTGCAGTTGAGTTTCTTGGGCAAAAATAGGCCTTATATTTTCTCTCAGTGCTAATACACATCACTTGCTGTCAGTGTCTCTGATCAATGATTCTTGTGAGCAGGAAAAGCTGAACGTGTTGCTACTACACAGTCTAAGTAACCAAAGGGTAGCACCAAATGAAAAAAGAAGAATGAGCAACAGACTGGGTCTGAGAGCATGAGACGTCTTTCATCATCACATCATGATGACATAAAAGAGGAGACTCTATCAAAGTTGCGACCTGTTTCCCCACCAGTGGAGCTCAGAAGGATCTGGCTGTCCAGAAACAATCTGGAGCAATGGTGCCACACGCCCTTCTTCACTGACTCTGTGACTGGCTGCTTTGTGAGGGTAAAGGTTGAGTGCAGCTGCAGAAAACCAGGTCATTGTGTTTCTGAAACCGTGGATGTGATGGAGACTGGGAAGGTTTACCAAAACCTTAAGCTGACACGCAGACACGCTTGAGTTTATATCAAATGATACATTTACAGAGAGCGAGTTCATGAAGTGGAAAGAAGAAATGATGGTTTCTGGAATGTCAACAACAAAGAAAAGGCCATCTACAAAGCAGATGAAGAACTTGATTAAAAGAACATGTAATAAAAGTTTATCTTTATGCTTTCTGTTGAGGAAATCTGTGGAAGAATAAAAAAATCCTTCAGGTCCAAATTCTGTGGCAGGTTCAGATGAGTTTTATTATCTGAGCAGTGGAGACAGACATGACACAACAAGGCCGTACAATTCTGTCTGATGGTCAACATTAAGAGTTCAGCTTCTACACCATTACATCAATACAAGTCTAAAAACAATCGGTAGTGGGCCAGGCTAATCGCGGGGTCTTCTGTGAAACAACAAAAAGGTGAACACAACTTTAAAAAGTCCTGGAAATGTTCAACTACAATACAATACAAAACCTTTGTCATATCTCAGTCTGCATTTGAGGGTTCTGGTGAAGTGAATTTATGTGTAAGTAAGAAAGCCTTTTCACAGGCCATCTTCTTGGAAAAGTAGTTGCATAGTTTTACAAAGGCGTCTCTCTGTCTCAACACAGAGCTTGATCTGGACGCATAAAGAAAATGTCAAAAAACAGAAAGATAACTAAATCTATTTTCTCTCATATGTCAAGTTTAACAGATTCAGTTTGTCATTTTCATGACAAATACCTGGATTAAGAAGTTGTACTGACCACGTTTTATTTGGCACAATGCTTTATGTGACAGAGCAATAGGCAAGAGCCAGAAGTCTTAGTAAACTGTGGTCATATTGGAATGCATTGCAACATTTCACGTAAATGCATTGCAACACTCTAGCTCTGTGACATGGGTGTGCTGTATGTAAGACTCAGAGAAAGTGGTGATTGTGCCATGGAACACATTATTACTAATCACAAGGGCTGTGGAAAGGCTAGTCTGAAGCTTCATAGCTCTCTGGCAGTTCCAGGAAGCCATTAGACAAGTTGGTACAAATTTCATAATGCAAAGATTTATTCATAAAACTGTATTGTGAATAAGTGATTTTGTGGTTCAGGCCAGTTTTTAAAAGGCTGTAATCAATGACATGGAATGGTCAATAATCCTGATGTTGCTAAATGCTAATACAAAGTCACAAACAACAGTAGTGTTTGTTGCAACTCGTAAAACACAATAAGAACATTTTAAGTAACTTCACACTTTAATGCAATAATAAAGATATTTCTAATTCTGAAAACTATTAAATGTTATTTTTTGCATGAGTCCCATTCGTTTTGTGTCTCCGGTATTATGCCAAAATAACATCAGATTAATATACTGCCCTTCCGCTCTAAATGATACAGCAACACCAATAAGGTAATGATGATGTTGGAGTCAACACATAGCTTTGTTTGGGGAGAATTTTATAAATTTCCAGAGTCAGCTTAGAGCTTTTCATAACAAACAGTAAAAACAGTGTTGTCGTAAGTTGACCTTTGAGAAACAACTGGTGTAAAATCCAAGTCCAGTCCAGAAAGATCAAATCAGAATACAGATCTTTGTCACTTTAGTGATGAAAAATTTGAATATAAAAATATTTCTACATAGAAATACAGGCTACAATTGACCAGCAATTGCAGACAACAACATACAAGCAAAAATAACAATAATTAGAACTTTTACAATAGTTCACTTTGCTTCTTAAATTAATGTTTTAGCGTAAAGTTTTAAATGGATAAAAGGTGACTGATGATTGGATGACAGCTGTAAACTTTCAGTAGCAAACAGTATGTTCATCATGTTCTTTTTGAAGGCACCTGGAATAACAGCAGTTAATGCAAACTTTAGTTACATAAAATGCAATATTGTACTGTATGACCTCTGCTTTGAGGGTGTTATACGCGTCCAACAACCGCAAGAACCTTTCATGTCCATATAACTTTTCACATCCCAAAAACCTTTATACCTCTATACACAATTCAACAATTTCAGCTCAACAAATGGTCAAACTACATCAGATACACGCCACGGAGACTCGGAGGTGCATCCGTGTTACCATCATTATTCTATTTTCAACCCATAGCTGAGCCACATTTCTGAGGTGTCAGTTAAAACACCAGCACTTTACAGAATCCATCCTATCCATTCTGCATTAATATGCAGAATATTGGTTTTCTATTGAAGACATCCTTTAAATCTTTAAGTGAAACAAACCAGCACCAGAGGATACCACCTATAGAAGTTTTTAAGTGCAGCAAGCTGTTACATTCTCCTTCACTACTCAACTTGAAGGCAGTTTCCATTTTGCATTATGGGAGGCATACAGAGGTTAAGGTTAGGCACCCTCCTGTAGACAAAGTGAAAGGTCTGTGCACGGGGTCGGCTGAGCAGCTCAGACTTGATGCGCTGAGGGTGCGTGTCTGGAGCCAGCTGCTGGCTGGTATCCTCAGTAACCAGAAACAGTGCATAGTTCTCTGTGTCGGGGATCTTGAATTTGTAGGCGCAGAGCGAGCTGACCTCCTCTGTGGTGGTATAAGAGTGGACGACCAAGGTTTTGGCCGTGCAGCCTGTGTCCACTTCCTGCAGGGCTACACGGAGATAGTTCTACAGAGAGATACAAAAGGTCCTGTTTTAAACTTTGCCAGAAAAGAAAAAGATGAATTGTACAAGCTGCCAGTGAAGACATGCGGTTAACATAGAGCCATAGAAAAACATCACATGCAGTTGGTTCAATGTTCCACAAGAGGGAGCTTTCTACCAAAAATATAAAGCCATAGATCCAGATACACATGCGGTGATGTTAGTAGAAAATTGTAGAAATATTCCTTTTCACTGATTTCTGACATGCACCTTCCCAGTGCTGCACAGGAAGTTTGGCTTTATATGGAATTGGTACAACTTTGACTCACTGCCTGGAAGTTCAAGGTGGGCTCAGGTCAGGCGTGATACCTGAAAGTCGTCCACAGACGGCACCGAACGCTGGGCGGTGCGTCGGAAGTGCCACTGGTGCAGAGTGTTCCTGGCCTCGGAGCTCAGCACCCGGGCTGCTTGCTCCTCCTGGAAGTTCTTGATGAGGGCCATGGCCCCGTAGGCGCTGGTCAGGTAATAACCTCCTGGGGTAGAGACACGGAGAGGAAGAAGTTTGAAAGCTTGAAGCTGGATGTAGTAAAAGAAAATGGAAAGTGAAACACATCATGGTCATTTATCTAGAAATGAAAGGTGCTGATACTGCGAAAACACTGATATAAAACATGTCAAACAGTTCCTCTATCATCTGATCCATGTCTCCCTTTATAGAAATGAATCAGTTATTCATAAAGTTCGGGAACAGATTTAGTCACCTTAAAGGGATAGTCCACCAAAAATTTAAATTCACTCCTCATCTGTGAACCACTATGCTGATGGAGGGGTGGGTGAAGTGCTTGAGTCCACAAAACACTTTTGGAGTTTCAGGGGTAAACAGTGTTTCAGCCCAGGCAGCCTCTTCTTTAGACATAATAATAGATTAACATAACATGCCTCCATATTGCTCGTGTGGTGTCCTCCAAGTGTCCACAAGCCCCAACATTTATATTCGAGACACTTGGACGACACCACACGAGCAATATGGAGGCATGTTATGTTTTTTTTCTGTTGTTTTTTTACGGTTGAAGAATCGGTCACTACTTTACTTCACTTTACTTCAATTGTATTGGGTTTGGCTGCAACACTGGTTACCCCTGACACTCCAGAAGTGGTTTGTGGATTCAAAGACTTCACCCACCCTCCATTGGTAGATAATGAGTACATTTCCATTTTTCGGTGAACTATCCCTTTAATGTCTCGTGGAACACTTTCACTGAATGTTTCCATATTTGATCTCAGGTATTTATGTCAAAGCAATATTTTCAGATAATTAACTAATGTTCAAAGAAGGTAACACGTACATACACATGCATTGAAGCCGTTCTAAAATGAGCTCATGTGCCAGACAGGTTGACGCTAATAGGAAAATATTTTATTCTGGGTTTCTCTTTTCCTCTGAACCTGTTCCAGCCCATTCAAATCAAACACGGATTGGAATTTCCTGTCAATGTCATCAGGGCTTTCCTTCCCATGCCTGTGTCAAACTCACTCAATGCAGCTTCCTTGTGAACTCAACTCAGCTGACACGTTCCCGGTAACAGGTCTCTGTTACAATGAGTCTTTCAGAGAGAGAGACGTGTTTGCATTTATTTCAGCAGCATGTGATAATAGAAACTGCATCAACTAATAATCACTAACATTTCTAAGAGCTTTAGGTTCAATTCTGACTTGTGTGAACTATTCAGTCACACAGAAGTCTTTGGCTTACTTGACACGCTGAGTAAAAGTGAGACTACAGAAAACAACATGTTGCACCTGTTGGATACAGCAGCTATCAAATCTGGAGTCCAGTCAATGAAACCAGGTGAAGGTGTGTACAACATGAATCATGAAACACGTCTTCATCCACATCTCACCTAACTTATGATTAAGAAGTGTTGATTTGCATAAAGCTGGAAAAACATATGATTCTGTACGACAGATATCTGGCAAGGTCAGCTCAGTTAGAGCCTCAACTCTCACCCAAATTAAGATGCTGTGGAATGAATTCAAGCGAACTACTTAATGAGCTCAAGCAGTTCTGAGGAAGACATTCCTCCTGAATATGGTGCGCAGCTTGCAGGGGTGTTGCAACAGGCTTTGCAAAGCCAGCCCCAAGCGGTGTTTGTGCACAGTATCAGTTCATCTAAATGGTGGAGGGGTTAGCGCTTAAACTGTACTTCTTTACTATTACTCATGTGTATGTAAAGTATACACTGTTTTGATTCTGGTAATAGAAGCATGGTTTGAAGATTGGAATGATGTGGTTTGGTATCATATGTTTTGGTCAATGTACCCCTCACCCCCTGGGTTCCTTTTGCTCCCAAAGTTCATTGAAACACTCCTGTGCCAAAGCAAGTTTGAGCAGTTGTTAAATCACTTTACAATCACAATACTTTTTACACCAGCACTGAAAATGTTAAATCTTTGTGTTCAGTGAAAACACATAAGATTAGAATAGTTTTGTTATTAGCATTAGAGCATTGAGTTTGTGACTCCGATGACAAATAAATACACACAATGTGTTTCAGCTGTACTTGACATTGTCCAGTGTCAGTCTCTACCACAACATATGTGTCATATGTGACCCCGCCCCCCCACCCTTGATCTCTAATGATATGAACAGTTTCCAGTTCCTTATACAACAGGAGATGTGCCTTCTGTTCCCATAGTGTAACAGGCTTCCCCCAGGAAAGACCCTTCTTCCCCAACAGGGTGGAACTCTTTTTAACCTCACGCCACACTGTGATGTGCCTAACCTCATGATGGTGATATACAATATCATATAACTTGCAGTGAAGCCACAAGGTTTCTGACCCATACATTTTGCTGCTCGCCACTGCAAACATACATTGAAGCTGGTTGCCTTGTACCTTGCCTGAGTGCCCCCCCTCCCCACTCCCCAACTGGCCTCCACTCATGTTGCATTTTAACAAAAATCACCAACAGTCATAAGTTATTAAACTTAAATTTACTTTGTGTTTGTTTGACTCCCTCTAGAATTTATCAGGCATGCAGGGCTCCCGCACACAGGAAGTTAGTTTGTTTAATGTTGAGAGAAGAAGAAAGAAGAAGAAAGAAAGAAGAAAGAAAAAGCGACACCCAGCTTATCCAGGCTATAATCAGAGTTTTTGCTACCATTGTAAAACTTTGGCAAAGCACACAAGTCTTAACCTGAATGAATCGGGATGTGGAGAGCAACAAAGAGACTAAATCCATATTGACGTGTGTGTGTGTGTGTGTCTGCCCCCGATGCAAAAAAATCGTGGAGGAAACACAGAGGTAAATCACTTCAGGTAAACAAAACAGCTGTTCGATCAAAATTTTTTAAGGAATAGTTCAATTCAGTGGAGACAGTGGGAAGCAGTTAGCCTGACTCAGTCCAAAGTAAAGAAAATGTGCCTCAAAACATTTCAAATGCTCCGTCATGAACAGGTTGAATCTTGCGTGTTTATTACGTACACAACAGAAATGTAAGACTAAAAATGTGTGTTTTGATGGAGGGCTGGATGAAGTGTTTGAGTACAGAAAACACTTAGGTTGTTTATTGGGTAAACAGCATTGCAGCCAAACCCAATACAACTGAAGTCAATGGAACATCTTCTTCAGACGTGATATAACAGAAAAAACAGAAAATGAATCCATACTGCTCCTGGTGTCATCCAAGTGTCCATAAGCCCTGACATTCAAATTCAATTCAATACGAGGTCATTTAGACCATGTTTTTAGCCTAAATGTCCTCTGTACTCCTCAGCCTGGAGCCACGTTCACACACAAGCTCACATCTCTATGCTCTCGCCCAACGGGAATGTGACGACATCAGCGAGAACTTCCTGCAGCTATCGCGAGAACTCGCTGATGAACGTGAACGCAGATCCGAAGGAGGATCACAGAGGACATTCAGGCTAAAAACATGATGTAAATGACGCTGTTTCGAGTCAAATTTGAATGCTAGGGCTTACGAACACTTGGATGACACCACACGAGCAGTGAGGAGGCATTTTATGGTTTTTTGTTGTGGATTTTTTATGTTTGAAGATGTGGTCATCAGTTATTTCAATTGTATTGGATTTGGCTGCAACACTGTTTACCCCTGAAACTCCTGAAGTGTTCCCTCCATCAGCATAGTGATGAGTAGATAATGAGGGAATCTTTCATTTGTGGGTGAACTATTCCTTGAGGAGGAGCTAAGTGGTGGTAGCTAGGCTTACCACATGCTGACTCCAGCTCTGTACTTAATAGAGAGGTAAAAGCCAATATATGTGCTTTTGTAGTGTTCGTCGAGTGCAAGCTTTTAAATTTGCACACCTAGAAAGACATGGATCACTTGAAGTGAACAAATCTCCAGCACCTACCCTCTCCTTGCAGCAGAGACGGGTCCAGCAGCTCCATCATGTACTGGATCTCTGTGTCCAGCTGAGGCATGTCACACTGAGCCACCACATAAGTCAGCATGGGCAGGAAGTCGTCGGCACCGTACATCCTCCCTGGAAGGAAGCAGAGGGGGAGAAGAGAGGCAGGGGGTTGTGGTGGTCACACAGGTCAGACGGACGAGGCAACAGTCATTAGAACGCAACAAGTATCGAGAGTAGACTGAAATGAGCTTTCGTCTCAGGCTGTGTGCTACATGCAGTGTTCATTTAACACCAACACTATACCTGAGTTATCCTGCATGATGGTGTAGATGAGCTTGCACACACGCAGCAGCAGAGACACCTTTTTCTCCGGGGAGTACATCGTCCTCATGTTTAAGAACTTGTGGCGGATCTTCTCAATAGCCACAGCGTCAGGGGGCACAGCCCCATCCACCCCCAGCTCCTGGGGCCTCTTGGTCTTAGCCAGGGCCAGGTTCTCCCTCAGCTGCTGCCAAGCTCCACTGCTCACCTACAGGAAAACAAACACAGGCTTTAAGGAGTCACTCGGGCAATGATGTTTGTTCACTTTCTTGCTAAGAGTTAGCTGAGAAGATCAGGTACATTGAAAATGAAGCTGCAGCCTGCGGCCAGTGAGTTCTAAAAATTACACTGAACTCTCTCTGTTATCTCCAATTTCCTGTCTTAGGCATGGTTTGTATTCACTCTTAAAGGTTCCCTGTTGAAATTTAAGGAAAGTCCACATCTCTCATAATGGACAATGATTTGTATGTAGGATTATTTATCAAGCAAATAAAATCTTCTTTATATTAATGATAATGAGAGAACATCAATAATAACGATTATTTAAGGTGTACCAACATCTGTTTAGAGTACATTATATATATGATGTTTTTTCTTTTTTAATTTTGAACTCCTACATCTGATATAATAAGAACCAGCAAATAATCCAGACCTGGAAGTCATGTAAGGCCACCTCAACCACGGTCCTCAGAGGCTTCAGGACACACTTGTGCATGGCCTTCTCAAGCACCTGGTCTGTACACACACACACACAGATAAGATAGAAAGAGACAGTTTCATCTTTCAATCATGTGAAAAAAATTAGTAATATTTTAAAACCTTAAATGCATCATAGTGAATGTTGTAAGACTAAAGACAGGACATATCCCATAAAACCTAAACTGTGCTGTCTATTACTATAACTACTATTATACAAAGTCAGCCGTCAGCCCAACTCAAACCATAATCTAGTCATTAAACCAAGAAGAATACAAACTGCACAGAATCTTAGTCGTCTTCTTTATACTACCTTTAAACTATGTCAAGTCTATTACAGTAACCCCAGTATATACAGTACTGCATACGGTCATGTGGGCATACAGTGAACTGATCATGGGCCTTTTAAGGTTAAGGCTGGCTTTTTAATTAAACCAATTTTGAAGCAACAGCATTAGAGATGCAACAATGAGCTGATTAATGAATTAGTTCATTAAAAAAAACCGATGAGCAACTATCCTTAAAAAGGAAAATAAGAATATCAGTGAACCCATGTCCTGTGTGATGACTTGCTGCCAACATGAATGTGCTTTAGACAACCTGTATGTAACAAATGGGGGGAAGTTTGGGTTTATTCCAGAGGCCATCGGACTGGTGAACAGTAACAGTTCAGGGGACGGTTAGATTTGAACATTTGTTTCCTCTGGCACCTCAAGTATTTTGAAATGGATTATTTTGATATCTGACTCATCGTTACAGTCATTACTCAGCTGATGGTTCCTAGGTGTCAAATGTTCTGCTTATACGACAGTAAACTGAATATTTTCTAGCTTGATCCAACAAACAACATTCTATCAAAGTGTAGGATTTCTGACTCATGGCTTTCAACAACTACAACAAGATGAATAAATAACTAACCTCTGTGTTTGACATTCAAAGACTTAAAAGTCAGGTTTCACCTAATAGCTTACATATTTGTCAAGTAAAAGGGCAACCTCAATGTTAAGTGCTGCTCTTTGAGGAGTTTAAGATTACGCTGAATCTGACCAGGTTGTGGATCAAACATGGAGCTCAACTCTGTTCACAAGTATACCATTCACTCAGCTGACATGAAACCAAAGGTTGAGCTTGGATCTTACAATGGCTCCATCTGTACCTCAGACCTACGTCCATAGGCTTCATGTCATTTCCTGCCTACCTCAACTATGTCCAGCATGTACACTGACACAATTGTGTCTTATTGTCCACTGGCAGCGCTGACAAGTCATGGTGCTAATGCAATGAGTTACACGGGAGAAAATACATGTTTTGCAACAGTGTAAACAAATGAGCATGAAAACACAGGAACTCTGTTCTTGTGGCCTGCCTTTGCGGCGAAAACACCAGAGCAGCACAAATACGAAACACACAATCCTACACAGTCCACTGTAAAAATTCCGGTAAGAAAACTAACTTGTTCATGAACCCACTCATGGGTTCTGACAATTCTGTCAGATCCTCATGTGTACACAAGGAGGGGTACAGAGGCTATTCAGGATGCTCCATCTGTCATACTGTGCACAGGCACACACACTGCACTCACTACACACACACACACAGAGCAGACTTCCTGATTCCTTCCAGAAAGGCTCATTTCCTTTGCATATTGAGCAACGTTTGTTATTGGGCTTTATCTGGGCTACAACCTGTTCAAAGGCTTCCTTCAAATGCCATAAGCTGAAGGAGAGTGTGTGACATAAAGAGAAACACGCGACCACATCAACATACACACTAGCACATACCTACACTGAAAACATGAAACACTCACAGAAATGTACACGAGAACAAACTTTATATCTGTACAGAAATGACAGTCTCCCTGTTTGTTGTCATCCTGTCACGGCCATAAGTCAGTCAGAAGTTTGGTCTTTAAGCTCGTCTTTTTCTTACAGACTTTTCAGATAAAGTAACATTTCTTTTCCAAGATGTCACTTTGAGCCATAATGTAATCCCACTCTCTCCCACTCTGTACACACTCAGGGAAGGAGCACAGGCATCCGACTGTCTGCCTCGCTGCTTACACGTTTCAGTTTTTTAACAACTGTAAGCTTTATGTTTTTCTCACATTTTCCTTCGATAAAGATAATTTTTTTTGCGAGTGTGAGGCATTAATGCGCAAATCTGTGGTCTGCTAGCACAGCCAGAGTGGATCACTTCTCTGTCTCTGAACAAGGCCTTGCTGTTATTGTTTACAATGAACAAGGGATGTGAGATGCGTGCAGAGACGTGCTTACATATTCATGCAAATTCTCTTGTCCACAATAATCTGCTTGGACTGAAACGGCCTTTTTACCATCACCATGACCTCAAAGGACAGTATCAACACATCTGATACACACCACCACGATCAGGAATATATATCCAAAGTGGAAACCAAGTTATCATATGTTACCAAAAGCAGATGCACAAGAGCTTTGCTTGAACGAAACAATGAATCAGAAATCATCTGATAAAAGAATTACAGTACAAATTTGACTTGACATTTGAAGCCAACTCTAATACTCAAGGCTGTGAACACATTTTGACAATGACCAAAAAAAAATATATCAATAACCAACTTGAATAAAAAACACAAAATGAATCTCAACACTAAGAGCATACGACTATAAACAGAGGCCAAGAATAACTCATTGGGGCACAGCACAATGGCATTTCTGTAACTCAACACCTATAATGAGGCAGACTAATATGGAAAACTTCAGCTCTGAATCCCAAGACAGCGGCAAGCCTGGGCACTAGCTGAACATTGTCAGTGACTAAGTCATTTTCAAATCCTCTTCTGTAGAAATAGTAAAGGGGTTGTACTTCTCAAATAATACTGGCATGAAAACATGTACGGAACTGAATGCTGTCAAAGATAGCACATGACTAAGACATCACACACGTGCCCACACATGCATTAGTAGGTGTTTCAAAAAGTATGGACACACAAACACATTGACAACCTCCAACTTTAAAAGCTGTATTTAGAGTCACGGTTTACAGATTCTCAATTTACTTGTCCTACTTACCAATCTGGTCCTCAGGTATGAGTGACTCTATTGGTGGATCCAGCTCAGAGCTCTGGCGCAGGTAAGCCTTCATCTGTGTCATAAACTGCCTGAGAGTCTGCAGAAAATCCATCCCTGATGTGTTACAGCACCGGTTCTCCTGAACAAAGCTGATGTAGTCCTGAACTAGGGAGCCAAAATATGAGCTTTTGTTCCTGGACAGCTCTGCAATTCTTTTCACCGCCCGTCTCTCCGGGGTCATGAGCGAGCTCAGCATGCCGCTTACCTTGCGAAAGCGTCCCTTCAACGCCCTAGGTAGGATAAAGGACCCCCCACTAAGGCTCACACCAACCTTTCGCCTCCTAGCTTTAAAGGATGTACGAAGGCGCATCTCTAGATCAGTCTCCAGGCCGACCCCATAATCCTCCTCTTCATCTTCTTCGCCGTCCTCATCCTCCTCACTGCTGTCCTCCACTGGGTCTTGATGGTTGCGGTGTCGAGACGGGCTGGGGGCAAGGCCTAGGGAGAATCCAGGAGATTGGGAGTATTCCAGTGAGTCAGAAGAAGAAGTAGACATGCTCATGTCGCTGAGACGCTGGCGTCCCCTTTCATTAGGACTGGAAGGACTCTGAGCATTATTCTCCAGTAGTACATCAGCGGGGACAGCAGGCGGAGGCTGGCATGATGGAAGCTTGGCACGGGATAGGGCCCTGGCGATAGTCTCATCGTCCATTGCGATGTGGCAGCGGTGGGCCTCCATKTCAGGCTTTTTAGGCCTTGGAGGTGGTGGGTTCGAAGGCACAGTGAGCGGTGAGCTGGCGCCTTTGGTAAGGCTGCTGTGCTTGGCACCCATTGGTGGTCGAGCAGGAGCTGGGCGCTTGCTGGGGGACTGGTGTTGTCTCGTAGCCACAGCAACAGCCTCCGGCATGCTCTTGGGTCTAGTGGTAGCTGCTGGAGGTCCAGGTGGAGGTGGCGCAGGGCGTCGGCGTGGCATTGAGCGTGGGGGAGGGGGGCGAGGGGGAGGGAGCCTAGATTTTCCGTTCAGTTTGATGTTGTCTGTGTGTTGCTCACTAGATTTGCTGCTGCCCGACGGCTTCACAGATGATTCACCCACATTCTCTGGGTGGTTACTGGACTTGGCAGCATGTGGAGGAGAATCCTCTGCACAGTGGCGATGGTGGTGTTGATGTGTCTGGAGAAACAGCGGGTTTACAAAGCACAGAGGACCACTGGAATGCCTTCTCTCCAGATTATAGGAAGGTGGAACAGCGTGGGACCGTAAGGTTGGAGGCGCGCTCTCACAGTAAAACCCGGTGTGCCTCTGCTGCGACCCCCCGCCTTCCCTGTTCCTGTTGGTTCGCTGGGGGCTGAGGGTACGGCTCAGAGGGCGACAGGGGCGGGGGGAGGTGCGACGCTGACTGCAAAGAGCAGAGTCCCAGAAGCCTATAACAAACAGACACAGAAAGTTAAACATTACAACTTTAAGCTTCACATAGTTCTCCTAGTACAACTAAAAGTTCACAACGAGTCTTTAAATGAGAAGATGAGTCAAAGAATAGATAGAAAAGAACAAAGCCCGTATTCTCTACTATTTCTCACCAACACATCAGCTGTTCAATCAAAGTTCTTACTTTGTGCTCTTTGCTTGTCTTTCTTCTTTTTGCTGGTCGGAGAAATGTGGTGAGTTTAGCTCCGTGTCTCTTGGGTCTGATTCACTGAATGCCGACACACACCCAGAGACGTACAGAGGGAGTCACCCGTGCTAATCACAGAGTGGGAGGGCACTCAACACACCACACGGCACGCATTCCCAGTCTTTCCACTCTTCTTCCTGCTCTGTTTTCCTTCTCTTGTAATTCAAATAGAGCAGTGTTCCCCTGTAGCTCCCCTAACGGAGTAGTTTTTGTACAATTTCTTTTATTGTTCAGAGAATTGATAGCTGTCTGCAAACCTTATGTACATGATCTTATGCCTTTTTCCTCTCGTGCTTTAAATCAATGCTCTTTTTTAGTTTTGTGTCAACGATTTGAACAGAACAGACAACAGATCATACACACTTTGAAGCATATGCACCAAGACTACAGCCTAAGTCTGGTGACGACCGGTTCTGCAGTCTAAAAATGGAAATGTGACCTCTTACATTCCTGGTGCAATAAAGAAGCAGACTCCAGCTGACTGCTGGTAGAGCAGTTTCAGATGTCTCATAATACCTCAGTGTCTAGAGAGTGAACTCTGACTGTGGTATTCTCACGGGTCCATGTGAGCAATGAACACCTGACACTGCAGAGCACGACTGCACCAGGCAGCCCAACCTCAACCACCCATATAATAATGACTGACCTCACGGTAGCACGAGTTGAAAAAGGGCTTGCTGTAAATACTGTAATATGTTTAAATCTAAAGAATCTTTCAAATAATACATTTGTCTGTGGTCAGGTCAAAGACTAATACAAATTGCTGGCAAAAATGTGCATTTGTCTTTTACTAATTTATCCTTATGTTTGTTGTTTTTCATGAATGTGGTTATGTAGCTGACAAATCTAGTCTTGATGATCACTCAAAGTGCCTTACAGATCCTCTTTTTCACCCACTCACACACATTAATACACTTCATTTATGGGCAGCACGTTTTTCTATGTCAGGTGTTCTGGTCCAGTATCTTGCCCAAGTACACTTCGGCATGTGGAATGGGGAAAACTGTGATTGAACCAGCGACTATCTGGTTAAAGGACAACCCTCTCTAACCCCTGGGCCACAGCACCCGACCTAAAAACTCTGTCACTTCCTGCCTGGGTTTCATTACATTACATTACATAACATGGGTTTCAAAACCCAGGTAAAAGCCTTTCCATGGACAGGGATGATTTTGCCCTTTTGGGGCAAAAGGAAGACTTTTAATGCTCACCCCAACCGGTCGAGGCAGATGACCGCCCACATTGAGCCTGGTTCTGTTAGAGGTTTCTTCCTGTTAACAAAGGAGTTTTTCTCTCCACAGTCGCCAAAGTGCTGCTCAGTGTGGGAACTGTTGGGTTTCTCTAAATCAAATAAGATTTTAAGGTCTTGACCTTCTATGTAAAGTGCCTTGAGATAATGCATATTATGCTTTGGCGCTATACAAATAAAATTGAATTGAACACATGTGAAAGGTTTGTGCAGGAAATGACTCATGGACAGTTGATTTACAGCAACTGAAAAATGGTTAAATTGAAAGCTACTGAAAATAATTATGACATTGAATTAAATAGGACGTCTGTTTAGCTTGAAAGACACTGTACATGTGCTCGGCCTGAATAAGTTCATAACTTTGTTGTGTGTTGACACACACTTTCTACATAATAGGGGGGGTCAAGATATCTAAATAATTGCTGTAATGGTCAAAAACTGGAAGGTATGGAGATCCTTAGTCCTATTTCTCACATAGCTGCTGTCAAAACATCTGCTCTCTGAAATGGTCTCTAGTGAGATTGTTCTCCTGGTGGAGCATTTTATGTGATCTGGCTAAAACCATGATTTCACGACTGCTGTAAAATAAAGCTGGACTTCCTTGAGAACAACAGAAAATAATCTCTGCAGCTTCATGGTTTTCCCCCATAAAATTATAATGTAAAGTATAACTGCCGTCACTCTGCCGTCATTCACTCTGTTGTTCACTCTGTTGTTTAGACGTGGCTGTATTGTGTACATAAACTTTACTGAAATCACTGCTCCTGGTCATTGCTCCTAAACAGCACAGTGTTGGCCCAGCTTTAGAGAAGAACTGTTCCAAACTAATATAACTTAACTTTGTTGTACAATGGGATCAATGCAGTGATGAACCATTCATACTTTAGAGAGAATAAGTTAAAATATGACTTTGTAAACATGTAGTTAAAGCAAAACTTTGTCCAAAAACTGTATATGAATTAGGGGAAATCAGAAATCGAGGTGTGTCTTTCTGTCAACAGGTAACTGACCTGAGATTGAGGGAAACATTTGAGACATCAATGACTTAATTTCACTGAATATAACAGTAACACTAACAGCACTATGCCAGCACCTCTACATGGCTGTATGACGGCACAGTACTAACATGCTCATAGAGTCAATGCCAACATACTTCTGTTTACCAAGTTCGCCCTCTTATTTTAGCATGTTAGCAATGCAACTTTAGCACTAAATGCAAAGAGACTACAACTGAGTCTGATGAGAATGTCATGAGTTAAACCAAAGTATGAGATGAATTAAAACAAATATTGGCAAAAGCTTCATACAATCCATCTTATACTGCAGAGATGTAAGTCAGGGCCAAAGTGCAGCACCATCCCTAACACGACTAAACATTCTAATAGCACCCTAGATATCCAAAATGGACCAAATATTCATGATAAATGCTCCAGTTAATAAGTTAAATTCGATTCAGAGCCCACCACTCGATATCATACCAGCACCCTCACTTTGTTTGCCCTCTGGTGGGGAAAATAGGGTGCAAAGTCACTGTGATATTCAAATGTCTGAAGCTATTTGCAACATGTGTTTGTGTTTCACATGTGCGTGCCCAGAGTCCACAACACAGATCGAGGCAGTCTGCATTTAGACTTTAAATAGAAGCTCTCCAGTGGAGAAGGGAGTTTCCCTTAATGAATATATGAGCTTGTTAAGTGAGTTTCAGAAGTTGGCTTATACTTTATGGGTTTTTCTGCTTTTTCCCAATGGAAAAAGGAGGAGAAGAAGGAAGAAGGATAAAAGTGCAAAAGCAACAACAACGATGACTAACACCCACTTCATTCTCAGGAATACAGCCATGCTTATACAATGACAGCATTTCAGGTTTGTAAATACCAGTGACACAGTCTACTGGATCTTACGTTAGCAGTCACACTCTCGAAACTTGTGTGTTTTCACACATTTTTGACTGTGGTATGATGGTATGTGTGTGTTTAGACAGCACACAGCCGACTGTAGCTTTCCACTCGCCACTCCCTTCCCCCCACACTGAGCACTGAGTAATGTCGTAGGCTTCCACTATAGGAAGCTGACTCACTGCAGTTGCACAGCAGCTGGGCCTGGAATAACTTGACAGAGATGAGGTGACTAAAACTGCTGTGAAAACAGACCCAAATGGTCAGTGTGAGAAGACAAAGGAAAATAAACAAAACCTCTGCACAGAAATGCTGGTTGTTTCATTTGTCTTTGCTTTGTATGACTGACAGTTTTCATGGATATCGAGCGTCATCATCATGTGCACATGCACAGCCAGGGGGCAGATAACGTCCAATAATCAATCAATCAATCAGTCAAATTTTAATTGTATGGCCCATATTCACTAATCAGTATTTGTCTCATAGGGTTTAACAACGTGAGACATCCTCTGTCCTTAACCCTCAACAAGAGTAAGGAATGAAAGCTAATGACGAGCTGATTCAGTACCTGGAACTGTGTGAATTACAAAAATAGTGGTTGGCAATGTTTACAGTTCCAATGTTCTGGTCACAGCTCTGGGTTTTATAAAATCTGTGGATGATTTTAAACTGCAGGCATAAATAATAAGTAATAAGAAAGGGTGTTTAAAGTTGATTATTAGATTTTGCCGTGGCTCTGTGTTTGATATGTGTTTACAGCTGATAGAGGAGCAGGCTGATGGCTTTGGGTGGAGGTTGTGTCACATGTAATGCTATCCAGAAAGCAGAATATTAGATGCTAATGTAAAATATTGATAACCACAGTGAGCAGGGCTCTCAGCAGGCAAACAGCATGACAACATTATTTTGTGCTAACATTAGAGAGCGAGGCAGGCTTGCTGTTTTCACCTGCTTCCAGTCTAAGATTGGAATAAATCTCTGCAGTTATTTTTTTATACCTGCATGAAACTACTTTAAACTCGATGAACAGGAAAACACCAATCTAAAAACAGCATTATTCCTTAAAAATGTATCAGCACTGAATTAATTTGTGGTTCAAACTTGGAAAATCTCCAGCAAGGCCGCTCAAGATGATGAGTAAAGACATAATTGAAGATACCTGCTCCGAGCTGAGCCACCTCCTCCAGCTCTTTCTGAGTCTTGGCAGATGCAATGGCCTCTGGGAGTTTGATTGTGAAAGGCAGGACATCCCTAAGGAAAGAACAACAAGCCATAAATATGATAAAAAACACAAGAGAAAGTAGAAATACACTAAAATAAGTTGGACATTGGATAGAGAGTATGACTCATCATTACTGTTCAGTGTACTGAACTTTATTTTTAAGGTTATATTGCAGTTTTGTCAATGACACACCCTGACAACAGTGATAATGTCATGAATCTAGTAAATGTGTTGACGCACCCTTTGTTTCCAATCATAGATGAAAATCTCTAACAATTCAAAATATATCTGTGTTGGAATCTAACATGTTGCTCAACCAAAACTCTGAGCTCCATCTCCACAGTCACATGCACTGCTTTGTTTCTTATTGCTTGTGGCACGGTTTCCCACTGTTTCCCGTGTCTGCAGTTTGAGTCTGTCTGAGACCCTGGCACCAGCTAAAACAAGAAGTGAGAGCCCTGGGCACTGAGAGTTGACTGCTTACTCGACAAACATTCTTTTCACTTGTGGAAGTTCCATCCTCAAATCCCCTCTCGTCAGAGAGTAGCACACGGAGAGGCTGAAGGATGTGCCAGATGGACACAAAAGGAAATGTGTATTTACCTGCTAATACAGTAGAAAGCCACCAGGCGAAACAGATCTGCGAAACTTATCCCAGATCCCTCGAGAGAAAACGCTGCAAACAAATGAAAATGCAAATTAAATAGGAGTCCATTTAATAAACACATTCTGCATGTGAATTTGTAGAGTCTGAAGGCGAGGGACAAGGTTTTGGGGCTGGACCAATCACATCTGAGCAGGTTTCGGTGGCCCGCAGGGAAACATGTGGAGAGCAAAAGAGGAGGAACACAAATTGGCTTTTTAATTTATCTGCATTCATATACAGATAGCTGTTAATAGAGATTAGCCAAAATGTTGGACCTAAAAACACCTGCAAAAAGTATCACTGTTTGTATTTAGTGTTGAAAAACCTTTGACTTGTGTGATAAAAAGAAACTTGTAGAAAGGGTACGATCTATATCTGCTGTCTACACGGGAGAAGCCTCAAACTATTGTCTGTTGTGGGGTTGAGCTGTGATTATACTATGTGAGGGTGGAACCATATTTCAGACCCATATTGAGAGCTGGTGATGGGGTGGAGTGACACAGAGAGCAGTACCACACTGTATCGAGCACGTCAGTGAATGAGGGTGCAAAACAGAACCAATAGCAAACATGTAAAGAAAACTCCTAATGGGATAGAGAATCTGAACTCAGAGTCCCCAAGCACTGATAAAACCCTCAGTTACACCTGCTGCACCTTCCACTGAACTCATCACCTCTGGCATTGTCGACCTCTGTTGAACTTTACTGCTTTGGTTTTTGCAATGTTTAACTCGATTTTTTATTATTGCTGTATAATATGTCGTACTGTTGCAATAAACATTTTAACGTGAGTTGTCTGTCTGAACCATTTTAAAATCTGTTTTGGAAAAACCTCCTCTGGTTTTAGTTTTTCAAATGTGAGGGTTTCTCAGATTTTTCTCTGCTTTAATAGAAAATATTGAATATTTGCATCAAGGTTTGACAAAAATAATAAATTGTTTAAATTATTTCCCAGTCTATTCACTTATCTACTACAAGTGCAGGTGTGTTATTTTTCATGCAGTGCATGTCGGCTATCTCAGAGGTCGTTTTAAGGTACAGTTCACCCAAAAATGAAAATTCACTCATTACCTACTCACCACTATTCAGATGGAGGGGTGGGTGAAGTGTTTGGGTCCACAAAACTGTTAACATCAGAAGTAAATAGTGTTGCAGCCAAATCCAATACAATTCAAATGTAAAAAAACATAAATGCCTCAGTGAGAACTCACGGGTATCATCACATGTCCCTTCGGCAAGGAGGCACGAGCTTGGTTGATGTGCACGCAAACGTGAACACGGCTCCGAGCTGAAGATAACAGCGGACATTTTTGCTGAAATCATGGTGTAAATAAGCTGTTTCGTGTCGAACTTGAAAGTCAGGTCTTACTGACACTTGGATGACACCACAGGAGCAGTATGGAGGCATGTGTTTTTCACCAGTTACTTTACTGTATTGGATTTGGCTGCTACGCTGTTTACCCCTGAAACTCCAAAAGTGTTTCGTGGACTCAAACACTTCACCCGACACATAATGACTGAATTGTATATTTATATGAACTATCCCTTTACGAAACAATAAGAAATAATGCCTTTGTTAATGAGCAGAGTGAAACCGTTCATTCACATGGCTGACTTGATGCAGCACTGTGTGCAGTGCGAGAGGCTAACTGAATAGCAGCTGACCCACATCTAAAGGCCAAACCAGGCCAAAGGCACTGCGGTCCCTCCCATGTGTGCTGTCATTTCAGTACAGAGAATCCACAGCTGCTATGTCATCACACTTTGGCAACAGCTCCAACTCTCTGTGTGGAACCACAACACGTGCAGGACGAGTTATTCTAATACTAGGAGCATATTTAAATCATATAGGTTTTAGACATCACAGTTAATAAAGACACACAACACTAAATAAATGAATCTTAGTGCACACTTATGGTAATCTATGTCAACAACGTGACACATTTTAACTAAGGTGCACATGTTCAATAAAGAGATTGTGATACGTAAACAAATTTTGCAAAATACAAACAGCTAATAAATGGTTGCAATATAAAAAGTGCTTTGGATATAGATAATTATTTATCAAATTATACTAACAGTTCCATAGGACATCTATTTTAAAAATCAACATGACCCCCAATGCCAAGGTCTCTCTCTCTATCTCTCTCACATACACACACACACACACACATGCGCACACACGCGCACACACACGCGCGCGCACACACACACACACACACACACACACACACACACCATTGTGTTTCAAGCTGATGTTCCGGTCACACTCGTTTCCCATCTCGGTATGGGTTTATCTTTGTACAAGCTGAGCGGACAGGAAAGGAAGGAAGAGACTTTTCTTTTAACTTGCTGACCGAGAGTAGTGGTAGAGGTGGTTGTGGCTAAATGAGACACAATCAGGGAAGCAAAGGAAACTGGACTAACACAATTTGAACTTTGTGATCTGTCATTGTCATTACAACAATGAACTTGAATGAGTTTTGCTAATAGTTATTTAAAGCACTGTTCCTAAAAGGTTAAAGGTGAAGCGTGTAGAATTTGGAATAACAATTCAAACAATTAAGATGAAACAAACTAGTAAAAACATCATGAGGATTATTCTACATTAGATTTCAGCCAATAATTCCCTTTCACCTAAATCTTACACACTTGATCTTTGATTTATTCTTACATTGTGACCTGTCTGAAAAACATCTGTGGTAAAGATATTGCATCTCAGTCAGATATTGCCAATTCTAGATTCTGTGGGATCATCTTTTGAGACAAACTTGAACACAGAGTCCAACTTGTCAATGTATTTGACATCCTCTGAAACACTACAGATCCTGACTTAATCCACGAGGAATCCTGACTCCAGAAAACATACATATTACTCACTATACTGGCTCTCTTTGACAGGAAAATGGCTGATGGGAGTTTCTGACCGATCCTCCTTCAGACGCACAGACAGAACCTTTCTCTGCAGAACAGCTGACTTCCTGACCAGGAATACCTGCACCAGAGAGGAATCATCCGTCATGGCATGTAAAATACACTTAGATAACAGATGAACAGTTGTATCACAGGAGGGTAACTCCTCACCCCTGGTGGCTGCTTGAGCAGAATGCGACTGGCCTCCTCTTCAGTGATCGCCAGCAGCAACCACACTGGGTGGGTTTGATTCAGCCTGTCCAACACGCTCATCCTCCTTCGCAAGGAGTCATACCCAGAGTCCCTTTCACCCCCAACCCCGCAGCAGTGGGGGGACTGCAGGTAAACGCCACTCACCTCACTCTCCAGCCTGGTAGCATGACAGAGAGAGGGACGGAGTCAAACACTAATGCCATCTGCTGGTGATAATGAGCAGCATAGTGAATAGATTATATTTACAAATACTGTTGAAGGAAATATGATTTAGCAGAACACTAAACAAAGCAGAGCACGGCAATAAAAATGTTGTGCCTGACTGAGGCAGATATTATTATCAGATATTATCAGGAAAAAACAAGATGAGTCAGGTTGAGGAATGTTTTGTCTAGAGCAGGAGAAATGTATGAAATACAGCGTTACCCCTGCAGATCCATGGGCTCCTTGTCTGTGGATGGAGAGGTCTGGACCATCTCCTTCTTCAGCTCCCCGATCTCCATTGCAAACGTGTCAATCAGCTGCAAGAGGACAGAATGAGAGGTTTCTTGTGAATGTCAGAAGGAGGGGGGGGGGGGGGGGCAGCAATAAACGAAACTGACGACATCTTTCAAATGTTGATTACAAATTAGGAAAGTGAGACTTTGGGACGGACAGGCTGCACTGGTCAGATCTGTAACAAAGGGCAGGGAAATGGTTAGTCATTTTTCCTCTATGTGGACCTTATTTCCTATAGACAGGAAGCAAAGCATTGTTAAAACAAAAAGAAACGCCACAACATTGAGAGTGGGCTGCAAAACTTCCCAGGTTGTTCTGCAAAGACCCACACGAAAAGATTTAAACATCTGGAGGAATCTGGACAGGAAGCTTGTTTGGCTGCATCCTATATCATATCACCTGTCATTTAAATCTGTTTGGCAGAAATTAGTCAACAGAATAAAGTGTGGAGATGACTGCTCATCATGCCTTTTGTTCTGGATTTTTTTTCAGCCCACAACTATTTTGGCATTCGAAAAGCATTACAGATATGGAATGTGTTTTACGATCACTTATACCAGCCTCAGAAAGCACACCCCTATCGTCCAAACAAGTAAACAGGCAGTATGCTGTGTTGCCACTGGATTCAGAGAATGGAGCTGAATCTAAAAACATGTGTGTTTCGCCTCTGTGTTGTGAGAAAGGAGTGAGTTTTCTTCCACACAAATTGTATTAATTACTATCTGAAGGCGCTTGTCCCTTTCCTTTCACAACACTTCTTCACCACTGAAAACCACTCATCTTGAATAAAAAACAGTGTCAGAGTACATTCTGGTAAAGTCATGCCTAAATCAGCACAGGTAAACCATTCGCGCCCAAAAGGTACTTTTTAAAAAACAGTTTATAAGCTGCTCAGTTAAAGCCTACAACACAATTTGTTTTCATGTTGTCTTGTCTTTTCCTGCATTTTCCACATTCCCTCCCACCACATGTTAGAGCGCTCCAGGGATTCAGGGCCCGCTGTAACATTACTGAGCAGATGTTGAAATTTGGATGCTCTGCACTGAGGATCTGGGTCAAACAACGCAAACAAAACAAGGCAGCCGCAGAGCACGGAGTAATGAAGACCAGAAATTTGAGGTAATCGAGGAAAGTATGTTGACATCAACTGCACATGGAAAATTCCAGTCATATTATCAGAGTTTCTTGATGTTTTTAACTCCAAACATGAAGTTCAAACTCAAAGAATTACACAGGAATATTCTCAAACTTTAGGTTTTGGTTTTTATGAAATTCGTATGTCAGAACCACTGCTTCCATTACACATTTCAACCAATAGGAGGCATCCTTTAACAAACTATTCTCCACCAGGCGGGCTGCAGGCCAGACCGCAGTAACCACAGCCGCCCCCTCACAGGACTAAGTCTATTCTACCTAAGTGGAGCCAGCTCTGCTGAAGCCTCAGAGTCCCTCAGCGTTCTGTCAGGTTAAAACTCATACGACACAAATGGAAATGAAACCCTGCACTTCAAATTAAGACTGGTGACACTCAGTCTTGTGGTGACACAAGTGACTATTCCAGGCTTCACAGGCGACCAGAGACAGCCGGCGCTCTCACACAGCTAAACGTGTCATTTTCTTCTCAAGAGATGTGAGGAGCCTAAAATCAGAAGCTGCAATCAGCTGAAGTGGCAGCTTAAACTGACCGACCCCTGAATTAGTGCTGAGTGACTGCAGTTAATCCACTAGAGGGGAAACATTCAGAAAAACAAGCTTTCTCTCCTTCCAGTCCTCGAAAACAACAGAGAGGCTGTTGAAGGTACTTCATAACTGTGTTACTTGATTTGCACTATTGTTCATGGGACATCAGTGTTTACAGTGGAGCTCTAGCTGATCTGTCAACAGAAAAATCATCAACTATCTTAATATTCTGTTTTGAATAAACCGTCTTTGGTTTGTCTCTGCTTTAATAGAAAATATTGAATATTTTTGCGTATTTAAAATGTGCATCAAGGTTTGTAAAAAAATATAATTAATAATAGTTAAAAATTAGTGTTAAGATATATTTATTAACTATTCATAACTAATTTGAATCATTAAGTATGTCCCAGCATGTTCTGGAACTCAGCATTATGTACTTTTGTAGGTGTGTTGTAATCAATGTTTTAAATACTGTTATTTTGTTAATGTGTTCAGTTACACTCAGCATCTTTTGCACTTCTGTCCGTCCTGGTAGAGAGATCCCTCACATGTGGCCCTCTGAGGTTTCTACGTTTTTTTCCTCTGTTAACAGGTTAGTGGATTTTCCTTACTCTTGCTGAGGGTTGAGGAATGAGGATGTTGCACCTTGTTAAAGGTACAGTGTGTAGGATTTAGTGAAATCTAGTGTTGAAATTGCACGTTGCAGCTGAACACCCCTCACCTCACCCTCTCCTTCCAAACATGAAAAAGAACCTGTGGCAGCTTCAGTTGTCATAAAAACTCAAAAGGTGTTTAGTTTGTTCAGTCTGGACTAATGTAAAAAACATGGCGGCCTCCGTAGAGAGGACCCCCTCCATGTAAATATAAAGTATTTAAATATAAAGGGCCTTTTCCGGGTAAAGAAAACTACAATTCATACAATTTAGATGAAACAAACTAGTGAAAACATCATGAGGATTATTCTACATTAAATTTCTGCCAATAGTTCCCTTTCACCTAAATCTTACACACTGGACCTTAAGCCCAGTGAGACAAAGTGGGATATGTGAATATAGGCTATACAAATAAAATTGAATTGATTGATTGATTGTTATTTTTAATACATTGCATGTCGGCTATTTCAGAGGTCTGTAATACAACCAACACAATCTTCAGCTCTGTAATTTAACTAAATATGAAGCATTTGCAGCAACAGAACAAACATTGTGCTTTTACTTTGAAGACAATTTGCTACAGAGGAAATGATTCTACGAAAGTTATACCAAGTGTGAAGCCGATAAGGTGAACGGTTCGCAAGTGGGTAAATATTCAATTTATGCATTTTTACAAAATGTGCCAAGGCCTGGCAAAAATAATAGAGTTTAAAAATGACTCATTGACTAATGATTCATTAACATAGTATCTTCCATTTTGTTCTCTTATAAATTATCATGATCAAAATATTCAGGAACTGCTCATTAATGATTCATTATTAACTTGCTACTGATTTGATACTGTTTTAATTAAATTATTACACTAGAAACCTGGGGCCAGGATCTGCTTCAGTGTTCCAATACTTTACACAACACAAACACACAACGGAAAGAGTTAATCCAGCCATGGAAACAAGTAGAAATTGTTATTATGTTCTGTTAATAGACAGGCATTGAATTATCTGAATGAAAGTGGGGGAATGAGGCCAGAGCAAAAGACATGGGAAATTCCTGAGCTATAAAATGAAGGTCAGTGAACACGAGAGCTGCAGAGTGACTGGATCTGGGCAGAGTGCCGTGTGCAGCTCTAATGGTGGCGCTCATGCTGGCCTTATTTCACTCTGACAGCTTTTAGAGGAAAAAGACTTATATTCAGGAACACCCTCCAATAACAAGACTGTGCCTTTCACTAACTTTTATAAACCTAACCCACTTCATTCATCTGGGTTTGTTTCCCCTTTTATTGACTCCATCCTCTCTGCACGACACTAGTATACACAAATGTGTGTGTGTGTGTGTTTCTGTAGAGGTAAGTGATTCTCTGCATGTGCTGCTGTTAAAGCCATGGATGGAGTCAATGGGAAACTATGTGTTTGGTTTTGTCACACAGACACACACACCCATAGCACTTTCACAGAGGGAGCATGATGGAAAAAGCTGCAGAGGAAATAAGAGGCGAGACAACATTCAGTTTTGTTTCATAGTTGTGGTCTAACTGTGTCGTCTGAAGTTTTAAAAGTGGCTGTTCGTGCATTTAAGCTGGATGAAGTGAGCAGACGCTGTCAGGTGAAAGCTGCAGTACAAGGCTGCAGCTGCTTTAAATACAGAATGCAAAGTAAGTTATGCAAAACACAAAATAACAAACACCTATTGGGATTATATAATACAGATTAGTCACAAGGGGGGGATGAACAGAGGATTAGGACGATTGAAGGATTTTAACGTCTGAAAATAAATCGAACATGGACCATTCACTGAACAGGATCCACTAAGAGAACCTTCTCAAAACAGTTTGTCATGTCAGTCAGTCACATTTGAAATGTTTATTGCAGCAGCAGAACTGAGTAAGAGTTTAAGTGAAAGCACAACTTCTGTTTTATTGCTGCAATGCTTTATACTGAGCAGAATTAGAGCTTTATTATGAAAAGGTGTGAAGGTTGTGCTGGTTGCTTAACAGACCTTTGAAATAGCCGACATGTAATGTATGAAGAAACAACACCAGTTCAGTAAATCATTCAATTCATACATGAACCACACACATGAACAATAATAAAGAAATGAATTTAATGAAAAACACAGACTATAAAATCTTCACTGCAGATAAACCAGGTAGGATGACCACAAAGTTTTCCACATTCACTGTGCACCATAGACTGTTTATAAAAAGCTCTGCACGCACACAATACAAAGTGACAGTATATTGTAGAGTGGAGAGTAGCAGAGGCATTGACAAAAAAAAATGGAGGGATGGGAAATCTTTGACTAGAAAACTGGTAGTTTGTGCAAGATAGAGAAAGCAGCAGTAATAAGTGTCACAGATTCCATTGTGTATTTTAATTTATTTAAATTACTGTATTGTTATAATGACACAAAATCTTTGTACCTGGCAGGCCTGTGTTGTCAGTGTGTAGCTATACGTCCACTTTTGAGGGACCCCTCCTTCTAACCTTCTCTCCCCTTTCTGTCGTGGTACTCCATGGGAGAAGAAAGTGAAGTTATGGTCAGTGTATGTCAGCTTCTTGTGTATTTAAGTGTACTAGTTAGTTGAAAGTTATTGTATCATATGCTAACCTATCTCTGATGTTCAATTTGTAAAATATGTGTAAAAACCTACTGTTTTCACTCGGTCTGTCACAATAAATCACCTCCAAGACATTTCCTTTCCATCAAATAAACCACAACACAGACATTGCTAGACTCCAGGGATTACACTGTCATGTGGTGGAACTCTATCTGACTGTAATCTGACAAGAAAAACAATCCGATAAAAACTCCTTCAGTTTGACGACGCATGAGCTGCAAAAAGTACCAACACATGCACGAAACTTTTTCTGGTGTCATTTTCACAATGTGCAGCGTGTTTCTGTATTTGTATGTGCTGTGACTTTTTGCAGCGCATGTGTCGTCAAATTGATGAAGTTACTTTCTTAAATTGCACGTGTTGTCTTCATTTGCAAAGCGTTGAGCTCTCTCTTTGCCACCATATATGTCATTGTTTACACTGAACCAAACACTGCCCCCATCTGTGATTTTTGTCCCACCATGCCTGTTCTCCTGTTTACAAAGATATCAATCTGTCACAGCCTCCTAGAAGGTGGGATAACAACCCTCCCCTACTCTGTGTTCACACCTTTTATATAGAACAGGGAAGCAGAATACAGGTGCAAAATGCTTGGAGTGAATGTTAGTGGAGGAGAAACTGCAGAGGCAAAAGAGGAACCATGAAGAGAGGCAGAAATGGGGGGGGGGGGACATTAAGACAGAGAGGGAGAAAGCATTTCATTACTCCGGTGTATGTGTTTGTCAGGGAGCCAACACGAGCAGCTGGCTTTCTTCAGTCCAGCAGAGCTTCACTATATGGCAGAAAGCAAAGGAAAACTGTACAAAACATACAGCTCCACTTTAAGATGTCATCAATCAATACTCTATTACATTTCCTGAAAGAATGAAGGAAAGTGCTCAGTCAGAACAAACAGTGTGCGGATAAAACCTTGACAGGATAAAAACAGTCTCTGAGAGAATAAATCCATAAAGTATTTTAAGACTTCACAAGTAAAGAGTTTCTGAAAGACACAGACCTAATGAAATGTGACCGTCGCCAGAGAGATGCTTGTATGAATAATATAATAATCTTTACACATGGTGTGTGTGAAAGGATTGATGATGTTCACTGGACTGGAATGCAGGTGATCAATAAATTACTGTTGATCACGCGTTGTAGCAGACTTTTGGTAAATATAAGTGTATTGACATGAATTAATCTACAATGTGTATTAAAACTCAAATACGCTGATTTGTTTGTGGCCATCGCCAAAATATGAACACTGACCACGACATCATGACCGATACTTTTCCTAAATTGGTCAAATCTTTATTCACTGCAGCTGCACGAGATTCGTTCAGCGCCTCTTCGACCTGACTCCTCTCTCTCTCATGCACATGACACACAGACACACCAACAGGGACATCGGACACTGGGTCAAAACAACATAATTTGGTTTTAACTAACACAAACGACATAAGTGTTAAGTCACATGTAGAGCGGGGAAGTCAGATCCATTTTCTCAGGGAATAATTCATGGATCTTGATGAATCTGCAGCTTGATTGAATTTAATTGTTGGGCCTTGGCGAGTGCCATTCTAGCTGCTATCTTTTACTTCAGTCTCTTCAAACTCAACACCACCTGGAGATGTTTGAGCTCTGCCTGAACAGTGACAGATGGAAATTGTGGCTGACATGAAAAAGAAAGAAGTTTTAAACAGAGCTTGCTCAAAAAAGGGGCAAATATTATTGTCTGTTTGGCTGTTTCTCTCTTCTAAACACAAGTTGAGTCAGCCTAAAAACAGGAAGATAAACAGGAAATGAATCTTTTACATTTGCAAGGGATTTTTGGAAAGTCCGCAGTGTCATCATTACCTTAAAGAAGCTGCCGCTCCTGTCTGTCAGGCCGCTGGGGGGATTCTCGGCTGAAGAGCTGAAGGCCATGTTGTCCTCCTGTCCTCTTCCGTCTGAGTCTGAGTGTGTGTGTACGTCTCAGACAGTGTCTGCCGGCGCCGGAGCTCTGTGGGTCAAAAACACACTTCTCTTCAGATACTTCAGCTGTGGCGCAACCAGAGGAAATTCTTGCTTTGGCCACAGAAGTATTATGGAGGTGCTGGCCTGCTGGAAGGCTTTCTATCTGTCTCTTCCTCCTCTCCCTCCCTCTCTACACATCCACCTCTGCTTTCTCTTCATCACTCCTTTGACTCACTCACAGACCCTTTAAAAAAAAATCTCATTCCAATCCTCCACTTATTTTTGGTTGAACCAGTTTCCTCTCACCTGCCTCTCCTATTTCCTTCCATCAAATTTTCACTCTCTTTCTTTTTCCAAGATTTTGTTCCCATGTTCTCATACATACATAATTAATTTTCCATTTTGGCGAGCCTCACTTCAAGAACAGCTGCCTTTCTTTCCCAACCATCACAGCAACGTTTTTAGGCCTCTGGGCTTTAGTAGGACACTAGTGATGGAATTGATGGAATTGAACAACCTGAAAATTACCTCAAATTAGCAGAAACTCTATTTAAAATAATGTGTGTGTGTGTGTGTGTGTGTGTGTGTGTGTGTGTGTGTGTGTGTGTGTGTGTGTGTGTGTNGTGTGTGTGTGTGTGTGTGTGTGTGTGTGTGTGTGTGTGTGTGTGTGTGTGTGTGTGTGTGTGTTTGTGTGTGCACACTTGCGGGACACAGTGTATATATTGGAAAAATTATATATCATTTGTATCATTATGTACTTCCTTATGTTTCTTTTATCCTTTTCTTTTGCCATTACTTTTAAATGATGTATTAATTGATCTACTGTCTTTTTGAATTTTGATTAATTAATTATATTCATTTGCTTCTTGTCTCTGATGTTTTCTAGAAGAAACTCTATTTAACTTTCGTTTTCTTTATCTTTCTTTGTTTGGGATGTGTCCCTCCCATATCTCTCTGTTTACTTTCTTCTGTCTTTCTTTCGTGTCCGGCTAAAACCATCAGGCTAGTCCTTCCCTTCCTGGCTGATGTTCACAGTCCTTGCAAACCAGGAGATGCTCTGTCGATTGTCCACCCACACATGCATTTTCATCTCACATAGCAAGGAAGCCCCCCACCCTTTATACCCTAATTGCAGGGCGAAAGGGAGAGAAAGCAAAACTTAGAAGATCATGTCAGGATACTTTTGGGCAACTAAATGTAAATGGTCTATGTTGGCCAAATTGACCTGTTAAAGGCCCTGGGGCCAACATTTGACTCCATCAACAACAGTTTATATGGATTTATTTCACATAAACCATTTGATATGGTTCCATGTTTGTCATTTGATTTGTAATCATCATACAAGACACAACTTTTCAAGACTAATTTGCAAGTGATCAAATTGCCAAAAGGCCAGAGACACAGAATGGACCTGGGGTTTCTGGGGGCCTGGACAATTTACATTGCCCCGTTGGTGATTCCAGCCTCAGCCCCATGTCTCTGACACCATGCCTCATATGCTGTAGACATGTAACTGTAACAACTATAACAGCTGCAGTGCAAAAACAGACAACAAGTTTGAGGATTAATGATTTGATTGTTAAAGTAATTTCTGTATTTTATATAATTGGAAATTCAGGCAGAATAAAGGCCATGTGATTACCACAGTCTTTATATGAATGTGACATGACTGAGTTGTGTTTACAATGGCTGTAACGACATTTCACTCAAAACCATGGACACACATGAAAAGTCAGGGGATCACCGAAGCAAGATGGACAATGTTTGCATCAGCAAACCAATCAATAGCCGCTGTGACATTGATGGACAGAGTGGTCCTGACATCTGAGCCATCTGAGAGATGATTGGTCTTCTTATCAAGAAAAAACTTTAATAAGTTCCATTAATAAAGAAAAGTAAACCGAAAGTCGGTGAAGTCAGTTACCGTTAATGTTATCTACATATGTGGTGACCTGCACAATGTCTCAGTCCGTTTCCTGACTGTCTGAGAGTGGAACTGACATCTGTCTGCCACCATAGGTTTCATTTCCACAAACATAGGAAAGTAAAGAAACAAAGAAACTGAGCGCACAAGGGAAACATCTAAAGAGGAACTTTAAAAAATGATTCCTACTGAGGAGATTCCAGTAAAACAGTGAGTGATGATTCTCAGAGTCCTCGCGCTGTTGATTCTGCAACAGAGCTGCGCTCAGCGGCAGAGCCAACAAAAACTCTGACCGAAAGGTAAATAATGTGTCCACATGCATAAACCTCAGATGCTGGGTACTGTAGTAGTACAATATAACTCCCACCAGTGCAGATCCTCTTCACCCTGCCAGAAACGACCCATGGATCACATCAAACACTTCACTAATGTCTTTTCCTCAATCACGGATCACTGTGTGTGTCTGTGTGTGTGTGCAGTCCATATGTATGTGCAGGTGTGTGATCCTCAGCTGCAAGTAAACAAAGACACATCTGAGCGTGCACCCCTCCCTCACAGGACCAAGGACAAGCCCCCACGCCCTCCTTCCCGCACAGACACAGACTTCTTTGTGTTTAATACAACGATAATAAATAAAGAATGACAGCAGGACTTCATTAAGCTCTGGAATTTTTGTTTTTAACGTCCACTCTGGTGGTGGGACCCTCATTTTCTCCCAGTAGGTGTGAGGCTGGCTGTGAGGCTGCTGTCCCACATCAGAGTTGATGAATAGCCTCAGTGTTTCTGCTTTTAGTGGCAATGTTAAATTTAATTGCTTAATAGGTGCTACCTTCATATGAAGCTCCCTTCACATGCTAAGTTCTAATTGATGACTTTATTAGCAGTTAAAATATAGCTTGGTTATAAGCCGTTAATAAGAACAACTATTGTTCTGAAATCCATTTGACCACTGTGAACCCTCCACCTGCCCTTTATTTTTTACTGCAAATTCACTTGATGGACTGGTTAACCAGTATGTATCTAAAATCTTTAAATGTAACTTCTTAGTAACAAATAAAAAGTTCAGGCCTGATGACTTGATTCAAAGAAGTTGCATTTCATTAAGCTGACACTTTTATCCAAAGCGACTTACAATCAGTGAATTAACCATGAGGGTACAAACCCAAAATGTTTTTATAGGCAACAGTGTCATTGTGTGCAATGCGTTAAAGTCCCCATACTGTCAAAAACAAGACATGGCTCAGAATACAAATCATAAAATGTATCTTATATCTATTATTTGATAAAAGATAAATATGTACTGCACTGTAGAAACGAAACATTAAGGCAAACTAAAAGTTCAAGGCTACTTAGACCAATAGATTTTTGAACTGTAACATTTACTTTTCAGACTCATGAGGTCACTTTGACCTTTGGCCACTGATCAGTTAGTTCTTTGAGTCCAATGGGCAAATGGTCACATTTTGAATACGTTTGCTGTAGGCAGACTTGAGATATCATGTTTAAGAGGCCAAAAACATGTTTTATGAGGTCACCTTGACTTTAACCTCTGAGGACCCAAATGTTTTTTGCAAAAAAATGCCAAGAATGTGAAACTTCTGAGAGACTGTGTTCTAAACTTGGCCTCCAAACTGAACATTTTTTGTTTTGCCACAATAAGTTATGTATTGAGGCCAACTTTACAGAGTGGATTTAATTAAATCATTTGAGGCAAATACTTTGGGAAGTTTAGAATGTCATCAAATTTAAAATTTTGTGATAATCATAGTTTTAGTCAGTGAATATTGCTGAGTACTGTGGTTGCAGCCATATTATTTACTCTATTTTTATCCCCATGACTCTGTATAATCCTCAGAAAACTGCAGGGACTGTTTCTGTTTCGCTCCACACTGAATGACACTCCAGCACAAACACACTGTGGTCAAAAAAACCCGATAAAACTAACATTTCCCCCGTTTGTTTAAACTGTCGGGACAACGTGAAGCACTGCGGGTCAGATGTGAGATCCAGTGAGGAGTTCTGTTAGGATGATGGGGCTCGACGCTGCTGTCCGAGCAGGAGGAGGAGGAGGAAGAGGAGGAAGAGGAGCAGCTGTAATACCAGGGCCATGTTATTGACCTGAGGCAAACCAGATGATGTGTGTGTGTGTGTGTGTGTGTGTGTGTGTGTGTGTGTAACCGCAGAGCAGAATGTGGGTAAGTAGTTCTAGGGAAGTTCAGCTGAACCGACTGACTGTCCCATCCATGTTTTTGTAGTTACAGAGGAAGCTCTTTGGTTTTTATATAACACACAGGAATCTGTTAACTCAGTTTTTCTTTTTTTTTACCCCAGTACAGAAGGTTAGGATTACCTTCAGCTTTTTCATGAAACGTTCGCCAGCAGTTAAGACTCCTATCGCAGCTTTGCGAGTCTCACAATAGCAGCATAAAAAAGCCAAACATACAACACCGTGAAGCAGATCAGCTTTCACATGTATTAAAAGAGTCAATGGACTGAATCATGGTCAGAAAGTGTGTCAGGAACCAGCACAGCCCAGCCACAACTTTCCACACTGAAGGTCAGCTGAGAAAAGCCTGCGCTGTTTCCTCTGGGCCACTCCCCTTTAAATGAGTCCCAGGAACACTAGATGGGTGGAGGTGGGGGATGTGTCTTCTATTTTTCATTGGAAGAGGAGGACGTAGCAGAAGGGGCAGATGGAGTGAGAATTTCCTGATGAACAGAAAATATTCTAACTATTGTAATTTTCCATGGCGAGTGTTGAAAGACACAAGACTCCAAGGAGGGTGATAACTTCAGGAAGAGTTGTCACTCGTCTCAGAGCAGTAACTCTAAAGATTTCCCAATCAGCATGTTCATGTTTTGTCTTCAGTATTTAAAGGTCCAGTGTGTAAGATTTAGGTGAAAGGGAACTATATGCAGAAATTGAATGTAGAATAATCCTCATGATGTTTTCATTAGTTTGTTTCATCTAAATTGTATGAATCGAGGGGACCCTCTCTACGGAGGCCGCCATGTTTTTTACATTAGTCCAGACTGGACAAACTAAACACCTTCTGAGTTTTTATGACAACTGAAGCTACCACAGGTTCTTTTTCATGTTTGGAAGTGGAGGGTGAGGTGAGGGGTGTTCAGCTGCAACGTGCAACTTCAACACTAGATATCACTAAATTCTACACACTGTACCTTTAAAGTAATCTTTCGATGTCAGTATATCTGTGGTAAGGACGTCATCCTGTAAGTCTTTTCTATGTTAAAATCAAGAAAACTCTTGAGGACACTTCTCATAAAGTAATAATCTCACCTTTGTGTCACTTGTCAAATTATGTTTTGTAGTACAGCATCTTCTAAATGATCAATATCCTCAAAGGCCTGAGGGCTGGAAACAACCACACCAACTTGGTGATAGCTGTGGTTGTTGTAGGAATTGACCTAGAGCCTGTTTATCAGTAGAAAGAACACAGTGACACAACCTATGTGTTAGCTTTTTACCTCAATTCAACTCAATTTTGGCAGATCAAGGATTGAGTATTTTCTCACATTTTCACTAATTGCCCACTGAATGATTTGTGGATCTAGATTGATTTTCTTAAAACAACTAACATGCAAATGTTTTTCATTTCCTATTAGCATAATTTATACTGAAAATAAAAAATGTGCAGGGTGGGGTCACTGACACGTCTAGGCCCGCCTCAAATTTGTCTCATTGCTCATTTTGTGCGACATAAGAAAATAATGATCACTAGTGTGTATGAAAACATATCATCAACACAGATAAGTTTACGTGGTAACAAAACTTAAACTTGGCGAACATCGTTTTTTGGATCAAGAGTAAAGATTTTCATCATGTAGCAGATGAGTTCATTTTCTCATCCAGATGTTTTGAAGAATCTTTGAGGGTTCTGGAATTACCTCGAAACAGCTGTTAGTGTTGTGCAGCCTTATGCACTTTTTAGTCACGCTCAAGGGCTCCTGCAAGTCTAGATCGGATACTTCCATATTATACATGATGCTACTGTATTTCTTAACAGTTTCTGTCAATAACATTACAAGTTAACTGACATGAAGAAGCCTGTAGGTGGAGTGGTATTTTAATGTGTCCCGCTGTAAATAGGGTGAAGACGATGGGATGCATGGACAACACATCCAAACACGCCCACAGATCATTTTGTCCTTGGGGCCTGTTGGCTGGTAACAATTTTCAAGTGGAATCCTCAAATAAAGCAGGAGTAGAAGAAACTATGACAGTAATAAGGTTTTGGTGGATACACTTAACACTTTTTCACATTTCACACAGCTGAGTGTTGGATTTAAAGGCCCTGCAGCAGGATTACAACAGACAACGCTGCCCTGTGAAAGCGTTCAGTGTTAACATCTTCCGCAGGGACACTTTAATCTTGCACTGGTAACTCGAGTCCCCGCTTGTCCAGCAAAGATGACATCACTTTTCTTAGACCTGTGTCTTTCTTGGTTCTGCCTTCAGGTTGCAGACTGGCACGACAAGACTCTAATACAGTCAAAGCAGGATAATCAGAATAATCCGGCGATCAAAAGAAAAGCAACTTAAAAACAGCAGACAGCAACACTAACTGTCTCTGGAGACAAAAACAACTCATTACTCAAGCACTGACAAGCAGCAAGTTATTTTTAATTAAAATACCTTTCTGCTGATTCACTTGCACACAGCAGTAAGAAACCAGGGCTCTATGAGCCAAAACAGCCCCTTGGATCTGCAGCGATGTTAATCTCTTTAACAGATTCCACAGAGGCTTAAATGAGGAAACTGGCCCCTTTATTATCGTGATAAACATCAGATAGTTGTTCATTTAGAAACAATCTGAGAGAGCAGCACAGAAGTGGGCTGCACAGTGTTCAGGTTCCTACAGGTCTGGCATGTTTGGATGAACTGGAGAAGCTGAGACATGCTGCAACACCACATACAGAACTTCAGCTTTTACGTAATAGGGCCTTGATGGTAAAAAGATGTGAAATAAAAGAGAAAGGAACTGCATGAAAATAAATAGAGAGAATGTGGGGCAGAAGGATGTGCATTTTATTTGATCTATTTATTATTTTTTGCTAAATGGAGTAGACTTTTTTGTAGAGTAGAGGGGTTTACCTGGTTTATTTTTTATGCTGATTCATATTTTTTATCTTTGTTACAATTTTATTATCCGTGGAGGTTGGGATAAAAACATTTAATCAGTAGCCTGTGAGTCCAGTAATTCACTGTCTGACAATAATAAGCATTTAGTTTAAGTGTTTTGTTTTTTTTAATCTAAATTTTGTATTATTATGTTGTATTCACACCGAATGCAAAGCCAACTTAAATTCAAAATGAAACATTGACCTGAGCTAGCAGGTCCTCGAACTGGTCCTTGGTCAACCTCAGCGTAGTCAGTAGTCCGCCTCTCCTCTTATTTAAAGAGAAGAGGTGAATATTGGTGGGTTGTTTTTTACTCGTGTTGGTCGCACAAGTCCCGCAAGTAAACACAAATGATCCTGTGCCCAAACCCGTGCAAGTAACGTAACATAAATATTTGCCTTGCGTTTGGTGTGAACATAGTATCTGCATTTCCCACAGAATGAATTGACAGAGATAACGGCTGCCTGTGCACGCACCTAAAGGTCACTCCGAGTGATAGTACACAGATGTAAAGTGATAGTTCACTGAAAATGTTAAATTAACTCATTATCTACTCACCACTGTGCCTATGGAGGGGTGGGTGAAGTGTTTGAGTCCACAAAGCACCCGAATCCGATGCAATTGAAGTAAATGGTGACTGAGACTTCAGACATAATAAAACAAAAGAAAAAACATAACATGCCTCCATACTGCTCGTGGGGTGTCATCCAAGTGTCTGCAAGCCCTGACGTTCATAATCGACTAAAAATATAATTTACACTAAGTTTTAAGCCTGATTGTCCGCTGATATCTTCCTACGAGGTGCATTGCATTGCCACTTCCTGTGGACATTTAGGCTTAAACACGGTGTCGATGAATTAGTTTTGAGTTGAATATGAATGCTGGGGCTTACGGACACTTGGATGACACCACAGGAGCAGCATGGAGGCATGTTATGTTTATTCTGTCGTTTTTTTACATCTGAAGTCTCGGTCACCATTTACTTCAATTGTATCGAATTTGGCTGCTGCAAAGTTTACTCCTGACTCTACAGAAGTGTTTTGTGGACTCAAACACTTCACCCACCCCTCGATCAGCATAGTGGTGAGTAGATAACGAGCATAGATAACGAGGGAATCTTCAGTGAACTATCCCTTTAAGGGTGAAAGATAAGTTGTCACGTCAGAGAAATAATTGCATTCCATTCCACTAATGCAGCTAAAACTATGAGGTCTGAGTGTCGTGCAAAAATTCTATGGAACATAGCAAAAGCATGTGGCAGTACGAGCACTCCGTAGTACGACAACACAACCATGCATAAGGCAAATAGCTAATATCAAAACACAAATAGCAAGTACTGCCCTGCACAAACATCAAACAGCACTGCACACGCCAAGTTAGAGCTCACTGATCTTATTATGAGAATAAAAATGATGAGACAAATTTTGGTTCTTTATGAAACCATGGTGGGACCAATTAGAATATGACGGCTGCCAACAGTCTTTACAGTTATAGGGAACCACTGCATTACACCTCTATTTCGAGAATGATCACACCTTTTAACATGTTTACGTCTTTCAGAGGTTGCAAGGGGCTATTCTAAGCCAAGTAAGGGTCCTGACATGACAGTGAGGGTCACGCTGTGTTTAAAAGTGAAGGTAGAGCACAGTGGTTTAGCTCTCCTCACAGTATACCTTTTTTTTTTTTACCTTAAAATGATACACCGACAGAACGGGTCCTGCAGGCTGTACCATATGGAAGTATTTCCAGGAAATAAAAAAACCTTTGAAGTCACTGTGAGAATGTGTTTGATGTGTAGCCAGGCACATGTGTTTCCTTATACTAGACACTTCATATTGTGAATGCTCGAGGATCTGAGCCTCAGTCTTACTTGACCTCACTGAACTTTAAAAAAATGCTGCTGCTGCGATAAAATCAAGCCAGAGCAAGTTCAGATGCTCCTGCACACACACACACACACACACACACACACACACACACACACACACACACACACACACACAGAGAGAGAGAGAATAGGATAGCTGAAAGCTCATCTAAACCATCCCATCCTGTTTACTGAGTTGGTAACACACACACACACACATACACAAACACACACCATCACCGCTGTGAGAAGAGAAACGTGTCAGAGACAGTTGGATGAAGCTGTCTGTTTTTTTAATGAGCACCCACATTAACCATGTCCCACAACACTCACATGTTCACTTCACAGACATGTCTGACAATATCAGCTTTCTGTCTCCACTCACCTCCAGTCAGTTTTCAGGAACTCCTCCGGCTGAGCTCCATGAAGAAGAACCAGCTCACGGTGGTTGTTGTTCGGTTTAAAGAGGAGGGGGACACCGAGGGGCCGGTGTCAGCGGTGGATTACATGGCTGGACTGAGGCTCCGGGACAGAGACACAGCGTTTGGATCAGACAGAGGAGGAGGAGGAGGAGGAGGAGGAGGAAGAGGAGGAGGAAGAGGAGGCTGCCGTAACATGATGCCTCTGTCTGATTGGCTGAGGAGATGATGGCGAGTTTCACCTTTACTTCTAATCCTGTTGTGACATGTTGACAGTCAGACTTTATATTTATTGGTTGTTCTGTGAATGACAGAGTTTCCACCCAGCATGTTAATCTGAGGTGGAACATTACACCCAGCATAACATAATATAAAGTACACATACAGTGTTATTGTGGAATAAGGTTTCATGTCAGGCCTTCTATTATTAATGTTACAGCGGCATGTTAAATATAAGTCAGATTATTCTTAAGTATATAATACTGTGGCTTCCATACAACAGGCTACCTCATCTGAGGACTATGGTAAGATCAATTTCTGACATCTAAAAATGAACAACTGATTTCTCGGTCCAGTGTTTAGGATGTAATGAACTCTGTCAGCACAAATGCAACATAATATTCATGATGATGTTGCATGTAGGGTGTAGGTACAGTCTATGAGCTCAACAATTAACTGCAATTAATACAACCCCTGAATTTCCTGTGTCGAGATTCTTTTGTGTTCACTAGATTGGTTCAGCGTTGCATTAGGTTTGCCACAAAGAAACCATGATTTCTGCACAATCTGGAAAATGTGGCAAAATTCAACAAGTACTGGGAGTCTTAAAAGGGGGATAATTCCTAATGGTTTATGGGATGCGTAGTAACTTCACTCTCAGAATAATAATGAAGGCCACTCTTTCTTGGACCTTCAAGGTAAATCAAATGTCTTATATCATGATTCATCTTGTAGCTGTTAGCCTGGTTCGAGGCTTACAACTCTTTCTGAAATGTCAACAAAGAAAAGGAAGGGTAAATTTACTTCTGGAGCCAGAGCCGTTTCTAAAAGTGGCTCATTGCTGTTTTATGCTCTGTCTGGCTGAAAAAGGTTGCCAGGCTCTACACAAAGCTTCATGTTTCCTGTTACCTAAAGGCCCCAGTCGGTTCTCGAGGTATTCCGCTCGTTGTCATCTGCACCTTCAACACTAGACATCACTAAAATTTTAATGGTAGATAAAAAAACGTACAAAACTATTTTGATCAATATTTCCTTAATTGATAAATGTGGTCACCTGGGGGCAGCAGAAGCTGTAAACACACCTTCATAAAGTTGTTATGGTAAAACAGCAGCATTAGCTTTGATTTTGAGTATCATTAAGTCAGCTCTGTGAACTGCAGCCTGCAGGTCATGTCATGGGAGTAAACCAATGAACAATAAACAACAGTGCAGGCCAAACAGTAAAAACATTGAGCTGAAAGATACTTAAACTATTAGAGCAGAGGGAGGAAGAGCTGAGTCATTGTTATCTGTGGCTCCACAGTTATAAACTTATAGAAATCTTTGAGATTACACATTGTCATTTTAGTGTTGATACAACAACATTAATTAACGCTGATGTAACAAGCTTTTGTGTAGCTATAATGTATTCATTAGTATGAAAAATTACGATTTGTCTCATAGAAATTGGTCTAAAAAATATCAACATATGTTACAATTATTAGAACGTGATCCTGAGATTGAATCACTGCATTTAAAAATTGTTGAATATTATGAATATGACAGAAACGGTTCAAATCCATCATTATGTGTCTGTAGTTAAGGAACATGTGCTTAACCAGAGTATCATAAGTCCAGCTCATTAACAAAGGGGAAAAACGAAATGTGTATGTAAATCAGTTTATTGCAAGAAGACCACTGGGAACAAGGCAGACATCTGTGTCTCTCTCTGGCTCTGAGCTCCGAGTCCAGAGGTCCTCATCAACAAAAAAGAGGATTTACAAACAATTCAAAAGACATGAGCATAAAACGACATGAATTAGCTGAACTAATGGTTGTAGGCCTACATTCTAAATACTGTATATATCTCAAATATAACTGCTCAGTTATTTAAACATCTGTGTTTATGATAGCATATCCCTCTGATATGTACAGCATAATAAAGACAGTGTCTTTTTGATCTGGGAGACGCATTAAAATTACACACAAAATAAACAGAATTCTGAACAAGGCATGCAAACCTTCCAGTATTTATCCCTATGAAGCCTACCTGAAATTACATCCAATCCACTGTTTGTGTAAAATAACAGCCAACTCTGAGGGTGTAGCACAGCTCTGCAGCGCTATCTTGTGGCCGCAGGAGGTGCCTCAACACCTACAGAGGAGGCTTTTAATTAATAAGCAATTCTATTAACAAGGGAATCTTTCAAGTTAAAATTAAGATGAAAGAAAAAATACGCAACTTCCACATTTTTTTGAACACATGCTGAAACAGAGTGGCAATACTGTTGACAAAGGTGGTTCTTTTTTGGCTCAAATACAAGCAGGAGAATGGCCACAGGCGTGGGGTTTGAAGCCTCAAATACAAAAGATGGCACAAGAGTTCAAGCCCTGTGTAAGAGAGGTGAAAGGTCAAAGCTTCATGTGCCATTTACATCCTTTTTTACCTGAAAGTGAATCTTTGACATCACTTATTTAACATGCACAGGGGTCAAGCTCCTGCTCATGTTAGGACCAGTGATAAAGATTTTCTCTCCATGAGAACTCAACCAGGCTGTGTGTCATCTTCCAATACCACTGTGTTTGCACCAATATACAAATGTGGCCACATCTTTCCAAACTATACAAAACTTATAAATTATAAAGTTCTAAGATCTTAAATATAAACAACATCAAGTCAGATTCCAGTACTTGAATCATATATTAGGTACAGTACATTGTACAGCTCCATCAACAAAGAGTGGAGAGCGCTCCATTTAACACACTGTACATTACCCAAAGGGCTGAAACTGGAGGTTAGACATGATCTTTGAATAAATTAATTCATAAATAAATCATGATTATGTCTTCCCAGTAACAGTGGTTTCCTTGGTTCCCCTCCAGATTGTGACACACACATACGCATTCACACGCAAGCACACACACACACACACAGACTTTGCACAGCTGGACATTACACTGACTTCCATTCATTGTGGACAGCCTAACACTAACCTTTAAACCCTTAACCTAACCTCAATTAACACCTTACCCCTGATCTTAAGCGGGACCGATCAGAAATTAAGCTATGACAAGCACACAAACACACACACACACACACACACACACACAGTGGACTAAAGTTGAGTCTTAAGTCCGAATCTACTCGACTCCTCCTGTTCTAAAAATACTTTTGGCTTTAAGAAGTAACGTTAGATTCAACTCAGAGATTTAAAACTAACTCTTTAATACAGCACAAGAGGTCTACTGTCTAGAGGGAGCTTTAACTTCAGTAGTTACATGTTAGAGTACCTGTAGACGCCTTGCAAAGATAGAAGATTATTTCTAATCCATAAAGTGACAGTGCTGGATGTCATACCCAGGGAGATCCCTTACTCATGTGGGTTTATTAAAGAACAACAAAGCCCACATCTACTTGGATATGCCTGTAGAGAAACAAACAAGAATAGACTCTATGTGAATATTGTTAAATATCGAGATTCTCTCTGACAGTGCAAAGCTAGACTTGACTCGTGGCTATTACAGCATGCTACGCTGGCTGGTGCTGAGCGTGGTGAGTGTGTTACTGGCAGACCAGACCACTACAGTAAAGCATACAATGTTGCAAGACTGATCCAGATGTGCATAAAAGAGTCCTGTATATCAGCTCATATTAGTACTTATATAATCCTCAAATATATACAGAGAAAGCCAGTTTTTACTTAAAAATACCTTAATTGTGTGCTTATATCCAATCTTGTACAAAGAGTAACAAACAACCCAGCTAAAAGTCGCTGTACGCGCAGGATTTCTCTCTTTCCTCCAGTCAGTCAGTTACAGTAGCAGCTTCTTCACCAACAGTAGCCTAACTGTCGGTGTTAATACAGTTACGTTCTTTCCCGCCGACCTTTCGGTTCATTAGACAATTGGCAGCAAACACAGCTGCTGGGACTTTCTCTCCACGCCACCTCTCCAGTCCCCAAAAATTCAAAACCTCCTGTGTCCTCTCTCTTGTGTGTATTGCACCAAAGATAAATCATATATATCTCTATTTCTCTATTTGAAAAAATAAATAGTAGGACTTGGTTCCAAGGTGCCAAAAAACTGGAAGCCAGGTGAGACTTCCTCCATCAGTCAGATGAAGAAGTAGACGAAGAAGAGGAGGAGGAGGGAGGTCAGTGGATGTCTCGGCACGTTGGGAGGTTGACGAAGATGAAGACGTTGAACTCGATGAGGATCGAGAAGCACAGGAAGATGGCGTACATGACGAGGCAGACCAAGCCCAGTCGCCAGTCCAGAGTCCATTTGTTTAAATGGACACCGAGAACCTGCAGGTGGGGAGACGGGATTAGAGACAGAGTAGGGTGCAGAAATAAACCGGGGAGGAGGTCAGCATTGCAGGTGTTGTACTTTGAACATTCTGAGGTTTGAGATGCACAGAATTTAAATTGTCTGCTTCATGAGAATGTTTAATAGGATAGTAGGGCATTCAGGACTACTGCATTTAGTTCCCAAAAAGTAGTCGACTAGTCGATTAATTGTGGGAGACATAGTTTTAAACCCTTTTCAATGTGTTAGAGAGAAATAGGATGTTTGGTGGTCAGTGACAGGACGTTTAGAGTTAAGACAACTGATTGTTGAATGCCTTCCTCGTTTGGCGTGCTGCTGCATTAGCCACAAGCAGGTGTAGCTTTAGACAGTTTTGCATAGCGCTGATATTTTTGTTGTACATATTTTGCAGCTGATGGTTTTATCTGCTCTGGTATTTCCACACTGTTGGTTTTAGTCGAGCAGCTGAATCTGGTGGTCCGCCATGTTTCTTACTGGCTTTTGCTCTTACTGCTTGTTTGCTACTTCAGCTCCCACAGCACAGAGTTTGGGCCCAGTCACACATTGGTGAATAAGAAGCGAATATCTCAGGTCCCTGGCCACATTCCGCAAAGTTGTAAATGGATACTTACTGTGAAGAATACTGAGGCAAGCAAGAGTCCAACCGAAAATATGAGACCTCTGCTGCTAAGATGGATCTGTAGAGACAGACACAGAGTGTTATTCTTTGGGATATTACAGTATTTTATAAAAAGTCTGCCATTGAGGACATAAGGCAGATGCTGTTGTCCTGTATGTTTGTCCTGATCCACACAGAATTACATCCTGTTTTTAATTCAGTTGGGGAGACTGACTGATTTAACCTATTCTGAGATTATTTACCTTGTGAAGAAAGTGATCCACATGATGGCTATCAAATACTATTTTTCTAGAGTAAAGTGATCAACTCAGCAGTGCCCCAACAGATAATCTGTGGGTGTTTTAGTATACGACAGTAATGGTGAACTCCCCCATCAGATTAGTGTTCTTGTTCTTCCTGGTCAACATTCTTTTCTGTTCTACTTGGAACCTCCTCTGGCTGAGTTGAGGAAACACTCACGATGGAGCCGTAGTCGATGCAGAGTGTTTGCAGCGCCCAGGGCAGGCCCAGACCCACCAGGATGTCAAACACATTACTGCCTATGGAGTTGGAGATGGCCATGTCTCCCAGACCTGAGGCAAAGAGAGCAGCACTGTCAAGGTCTGTCTGTAGTCACAAGACAAGTCAGTAGTGACAAGCAACAGTCTGCTGTGAACTTCTCTTCACAGTATTCCTGCTTCACGGAATAAATATTTAGATTTCTACTTGTTTTAACAGACTATGTTGATGCATGTGTGTGTGTGTGTGTATGCACCTTGCCGTGCCACTATGACGCTAGCCATGCAGTCAGGGACGCTGGTGCCTGCTGCCAGGAAGGTGATGCCCATGATGACATCAGGTATACCAAGTGTGAAGCCGATCACAGTCACCTGAAACCAAACACATTCTATCTCATGATACAGTCTTTTTTTTTTGGTGTAGTTCATCAGTAAATAAAACCATGTAAAACCACTATTCACCAACTTTCACATGTCAGAGGTGTAAAAATGTTTAATGCCAAAAAATGTTAGAAAAAACGTATTGGCCCTGTTCAGACCTGGTATTAACATCCTTCCTGAGAGATCCCATCAATGTGTTAAGTGCATCTGTTCACACCTGGTATTGCATCCTGAATGTGAACACTTGTGATCGGATCTCACTTCCACACTCTGGGTACAAATGATCTGTGTGATTTTATGTATGATTGTGTGCATGATAAAAATAAAGTTGAAAAAAAGAGACTATCAACATCTGGACCAGTGTGTGTGTGTGTGTGTGTGTGTGTGTGTGTGTGTGTGTGTGTGTGTGTGTGTGTGTCTCTGACTGGACTGACCATCCAGACCATGATGTATGAGAGGCCAGCGATCCAGATGGTGGCGGTGAAGAAGGACACCATGAACCATCTCTCCCAGCGGCGCTTGGCACAGTTGGGCACAGTGAGGAACAGGAGCAGGGACAGCGGCCACATGGTCAACCACTTCAGTTTATTGCACGCCCCAGCTGGACCGAGACAGGAAGAGAGTGGATATCAGACAAACTAAATCTTAAACATTGAATAATTTTATTTCTAAATGTCATCTGTGACAAATGTACCTGGAATTTTGAACGGCACCAGGGGGCCTCCGTTATCATCTTCTCCCTCTCTCTCCTCATCGTTCTCATTGTTCTCATTATCCTCAGTTTCATTCTCCGTCTCATTACCAGACTCCAGCCGCTGAAGTCTGCATCTCCCATTCAGACCTTGCTCGGTCCCGCCCATGCCATTCTCTAAGCCCCGCCTCCCCTGACTCCTGGCCGCTGAGTCTGAGTCGCCATTGGTGATGCGGTTGACTCGAGTCTCTGAAGTGTTGATCAGTCTTTGTCTCTAGAAGAACATGAAGATATCAACACAAGAGTTCCATTAACAGATGTGGACATAACTAGTGCTCGTTGTAAAGCTGCCTGCTCTCTTGTCCTGTGTTTATACTCCAGAGCTACTTCAGAATTATTCCTTGTCATTAGTGAGTCCTCCTCCTTTAATATTGAACATGTTGTCCAAATCGCACCAAACTCGGCTCTGCACTTCCCGGGGCCATTAATAATACAGATGCCAAGTGTGAAGCCAATATGATGAACAGTTCACAAGAGCTTTTCATATACAGACAGATGTTTGTGGAATTAGTAGTTAGATAACAGAATCACTTTGAGTTGAGCTATCTACTTTAAATCCTTACATTTTGTATTCATATAATACAAATCACAGAAAGAGTCATATTTGTCCTAAGCAAATTTCTTTTTCCTTTTATTTCTGTCAAAATCCCAAATTTGTTTGGTTTAGGGTCAGTCTGCAGTAGACAGTTGTCTGAGTAATAAAACTGCCTGTGATATCTAAAAGAAAATGAACATGCAGTTCATTCTCTCTTCTGCTGAACTCAGACAGGGTTATTTGGTTTGTATTTATGCTGAGACTCATAGAGAGATGATAAAACTTCCTCTCAGGGTTGCTCTGCGAGGATTCGACTTCTTTTTTTCCAATCTAAAGCTACTTGCAGCCTATAAAACTACATACCTCAAGATAATGTAATGTGCCTGAGTCCATGTATAGTTTGGTGTACATGTACCTCATTGATGAGCATGCGGGAGGCCATGGTGAGACGGGTCCTGGGGGAGAAATGATTGGTGATCATGATCCTCATGCCGGCCTCAGAGAAGGACAGCTGGTGGGGGTATGCAGACAGCAGCTCATCCACCATCAGCACTGATGGCTTACAGTGGAAGTTAGCTGGGAAGGAATAACACACACTTTTTAGCTGACTGCTAAGCTACTTGTTTACTGTGACACTAAATACGAAATGCAATCAAACTGTCTCCAACCTCCAGTCTCCTCAGAGGATTTGAAAACCAGTGCTTACCTAAACAAATAACTTGCATTAACTGCAGATGTTATAAAAAGATTATTCCTTCAAAAAAGGGCATGAAGGACAACATCTGGAACATAACAACCAGAACAAGAGGAATTAGTCTAGAAATGTTTACAGTTCTCTAAATGTCTACACTACACAAAGACATTGGACAATATATGGAAAGGAAAATGTCAGACAGGCTTATTTGTTTCACCTCAGAAACAGCCACACTAAACAGCAGCTAGTACTTCATATTATCTCATCACGAGTGGACTTCCACTTTCCCCTGTGTTCATAAAGCATCCTTACTGTTCAAACTGCTGCTGCCAGGCTCTTAACATTATCCGACAGATGGTCACATATTACACCTATGTTAACCTCTCTGCACTCGTGTTTATCATAAACGCTCTGCAGGATATCATGGACCTTCTGCACCCACGCGCCATGAGCGGAGCAGTTAGACCCTCCGCCCAGGACCTTGAAAGAACACTTCAGCCTCCGTTCAGACAGGTATTGATGTAACAGGTGTGAAATAAGCTTTAAATAATTAAACACAAAAAGCCAGTATGAGGTTCATGCTGTGGTACAGTGAAAATACAGTGGATATAAAAAGTCTACTGTTAAAATTCCATGTTTTTGTGATGTACAAAAATTCAAAAGATTGATCATGCCAGATTTTTGTGACCTATAATCTCTACAATTCAACTGAAAACAAACTGAAATCCTTCAGCAGGAAAAAACACACAACTATAATTGTGGTGTACACAAAGATTTAGCCAAAACTGAATCTGTGCACTGTGTCATTTTAACAGCTGCTGAGTCTTGAGATACATACAGTTGTCAAACCACCATGTCAAACTTCTCCAGCTCACAATGTCAGGGCACGGTTCTAATTTGTCCATTAAGTTTCACTTTTGAATGTGATCTCAGCAGGTTTCCATGTCTGAAATGTAGAGAACTCTACACTAGCTCCCTGTCAAACATCACAGGAATTACAAGAGTCTCCTTATTATCCTTCAAGGCTCTTTCTTACATAGCACCTCCGTACCTGTCTGACCTCCATTATATCTACACACTGGCCCATACTCTCCGATCTTCCTCCTTCATCCTCCTCACTAATCTCTCCTGCCCTCTTATCCTCTATGGGGTCTACAGTCTCCAGCTGTGCTCGCCCTTGTCTCAGGAACTTCCTCCCACAAACCATCTATGACTCTGACTTTCACCCACCTGCACGTCTCACCCCACAGTCCCCCGCTTTAGATTTGCTTATTGTGTGTGTGACCATGTCCAGTATGTATCTTGTTTTTACTATTGTTGATTTTATACTTCATCAGCCTCTTATTGTACATTGTTTTATTAGTGTCCTAATATTTTGATGTCTTTTGAATGTTGCTATATAATTAAGGTGTCATAGAGGCACCCATAAATGATCATTATTAACTTCATCCTGTCTGTTGCCACAGGCCAATATGTGCCACCAATCCATTTCCTCTGCTGATCAATTGCAGCAGCAACATTAACAATGTCAGCTGTTGTAGTTACTTTGTTTCCTTCGAGGTCAGACATCACCCACCAGCCGTGTTACAGTAAGACACGGTGACAAGGTCGTGTCACAGAGGTGTCAGACATCAGGCTACTGTGGGGACCATTTGTGACGCTGCACATTCAGACAAATCCAGCCTGGCAACCCTGCTGAAGCAACTGCCACCTGCTACCCCAGTTCGCTGTGTTGCCTCATCAGCACCCCCGAGGAACAAGTTAGCAGGGTCACTTGTTCTCACCGGAGGCAGCAGTCAGAGTATCAGACACAGAACAAGCTGACGGAGCAGGCAGTGCTGAGGAAGGTCGGAGCCAGCACCTTGCACCGTTCTCTATTCTGGTAGCTGCTGTTGTTGTGCCCCGGACTTTCTGGGGCACAACAGTGCAACAACAGTGCCCTCCCTCCGCACCAGGCTGCATGCTTCTACCACCCGGAGGACTCATACTATTCTACTGCATCATAATATTCTTCTGTGTCCTTGGTCTGAAGTCATATTTAATCAGCCAAAGAACCAATAAGCACAAAAATACTCTTGTGATGCTGACCGACAATTTCTTCAATTCATTCAAACTCCTCTAAAACTATTTAGGTTAAGGACACTGCCTTGACCTCTGCAGCTGCTCGCCATAATATGTTTTTTGACGAATGATAGCATAAGGATACGAATGTAAAGCTCCACACACAGGGGGCGCTGGGAATTCTTCTCACCTCCATACAAAGCCCAAAAGTCACAGTGTGGAGGGGCATTAGATGTGAGGATCAATCCAGGACAAAAGGCACAGAAGTTATTCAGTAAAGTCAACCTTCACTATCTTTTCGGGGAGAAGAACAAAAATAGAGGAGTGATGGTGCCCCCGCTGCCTTTATGCAAATTTCATTGCGTCGAGATGAGCAGCTAAAACCTGCAGAGTCCTGTTAGAGGGTAATGCCTGAGAGATATAGAACAGTTTGTGATACCTTTCTTGAGCAGGACTGCAGTAGCATCACACGTGACATTGTCCTCCAGATCGGAGCTTCCTGTCAACCCATTGGCCAGACTCACAGAGCTCTTCTTTCGACGGTCAAAGTAACGGTGCGCTCGGCCGTTAAACCTGCCAATGACAAATCAGTTAAAGGGGAACGTAGCTTTTCCAAACAAATACCAATCCACCCAGCTTGTGGGAATGACACTCACTTCATGATGAGGATGTAGACTACATACATGAGAACCAGGACAAGAGACTCCCACCTGCCACACAAACACAAAGTCAGTCAAATGTGCACTACCATTCAGTGCATACATCAGGATTCTACAAAAAGATACGTACCAGCAGACCTTCTCATCGTAAATGAACTGAAAAAACAAAAAGAAGTGGACATTAGGTGAAGGAAATGAGTCAATGTTGAATTTAATCTGCATTTCTGCTCCACTAGAGGGCGCAAGCAGTCCAGACTTCAGAGAGGCAGAAAAGAGGCCAAGGCTCGACATTCTGGTTTCATCTATTTCACTTAGAGAAAGACTTGTTTGAACTCTCCTCTGTAGCTGTGTGCTGCACACATACATTTATAGATGACCTTGTGACACACTGTCATAAAGCAATGATGTGATTTTCTGCTGAATCTTTTTTGTTCACAGGTTATGAAAAGATTTTAAGTTTGAGTATATAACAAATAATCACGTTGTAGATGCTGATAATGTATTTCATGAATAAAAATCATAATCTGTAAAGTAAAAAAACCCACTACAATGTGTAGTATACCCCTTTGAAGTATAATGTTGCATACAATTCATACTTACCTCTACAAATGTGCTTAGTTACTTTCTACCACTTCTCCTTTTCAATTAATTTCATTACAAAGGGAGATTAAAGTGTCAATCAACAAACTCGCAATTGTTTAGATTTAGTCTCACACTGCATACATATATTTTTCTGACCACAAGATGAATAGCTGTAATTGAAAAACTTCTAAATCATACCTGTATATTTTATTGACTTCCTACAATCTAATTAATACTGCTGAGGTAGAGAGTATGAAAATGTAGGAATGGATACAATGGTTAAGTGGAGGTATAGGCATCTGTGCATATTTCCGCAGTCACCACACACTTCCTGGTGTGTCCTGAATCTTTTCATGTGAGTCTACAAACTCTTACCGCGATGAGGGCCATGATAGAAAACGTGTAATAAATGGAATCTCGGAGCAGAGCCCAGTGAGAGAGCTTCACGGCCTGCGAGAGAGAGAGAGAAAAAGAGAGAACAGAGATGAAGCACAGTTCACGCCTCTAACATCATTACCATACTAATGTAAACAGCCCAGCTCTGAAGTTGACCTCCTGATTCATTTCACAGTCAGTGGGAAAAGCCAATCGCAAGGTGCCATCCTACGTACCAAAGGTGCCTGTGTGGTTGTCTACTTTATATAATCAGATACAATGCAGGGGCCCACGATGCAGTGACTAACGCTGTAGCACTCTCCCACACGGCGTTCACACTATATACGCAAGTAAAGGGTCAGGAATCACATCTTGAACGTGCCACTCCCAGCCGTGATACCGCTTGCTGCTGCGAGGCTGAGGGCAAAGTTAGAGCATAACAAGGCTTCAAATGTTTGCTTGTGCTCTGCTTCCCTGTACAATAGCTCTTTGTAGCAGGGACCTGCTACGAAAAGCCAGCCAATGGTAATAAACAGTGGTGAGGTGAGGTGCACTGCTTGGCCTGAAGACGATTTGACTGCACCCATTCCTTCTGAGCCCCATCACACAGCCTTCTCCCTCATTATCTCACTGTGATTACATAACGCTCAATCTGGGATTGCATCACTGTTTGGAGTCCGGTGCATATATTTTTCAGAGCGGAGAGGTTATTCTTGTTCTTCCCTTATTTCAATGTCCCTGGCACATCAGCTAACATCAGAGAGAGGCTGCACTTTATTATGTTGTTTTGTATCTCGTGTACAACATCGAGGACGCACAGCAGAAAAAGATGTACGAACTCTCTGCTGTGTACATTCTGATGAGATTTTGTACATGTGGCTAAACAAAGAATTACAGTGTATACTATATTTGAAACATGTCCTCACGAACCAGTGGCTCCTCTACAAAGAGATGTGCAATTGAAAAGAATAAAACATCATAAGTGTACAGCTTTTTTATGTTTTAGGAGTTTATGTGCTCGAACATTCTCAAAAACCATTCATAAAAACATGTGTAGAGGTAAAGATTTTAGTTATATTTAAGACCAGCAGTTCCCAGAGAGATTAGCTGAGGGTGCTGCATGATTTGTCCTCTTTTTTGATTCCACAAGTAAAAAGAATGATGACAAATCTACATTTCAGTATTTACTTACATTAAAAAAGTAAAATATGAGCATTGACACATAACCCCCCCAATCAAAGTATTTCTTAAAGGTCCAGTGTGTAAGATTTAGGTGAAAGGGAACTATTGGCAGATATTTTAACGTAGAATAATCCTCATGATGTTTTCACTAGTTCATTTTATCTAAATTGTATGAATTGTAGTTTTCTTTACCCCAGAAAAGACCCTTTATATTTAAATACTTTATATTTACATGGAGGGGACCCTCTCTACAGAGGCTGCCATCTTTTTTACATTAGTCCAGACTGGACAAACTAAACACCTTTTGAGTTTTTATGACAACTGAAGCTATCAGAGGTTATTTTTCACTTGTGGAAGTAGAGGGTGAGGTGAGGGGTGTTCAGCTGCAACATGTAATTTCAACACTCGATATCACAAAATTCTACACACTGTACCTTTAAGTATGTACTTCAGTCACAGCTACAACTAGTGACAACATAACTCATAGTCATCTCCAATCTAATTTTGTCACAGTAACGGCACAGTTCCAGACTCATGACCTTTCAGGTAAACAGCAGTTAGAAATAGTGAGAGAAAGAATTGGTCAATTTAGGCTCCAACAGCACCGGGGAGGAAATCACTGTTTAAACAGCCAAACAATCAAGATCTTTGAAAGAGGAGTGGCCTTATTTAAAAAAGTTGAGGACTACCATCACTGTTCTATATGTCTCATATCTTGTCTGTGGTTTACACATTAGCTCTGAACTTCAGTGCACGACACATGGAGTCATACATGCATAAATCAACAGTGTGGACATGTTCCCTGCGTAGTTCTGCATGAACATGTGCATGTATGCATGAGCACTTCATACCACTTTGTGTTTATGTGGCAGAATATGTAAAGGGGACATTAGTTAAGCTTTCCCGAAAATGCCACCAGGTCAGCAGCAAACTCAGCTGTGACATCATACCTGGCCAGCGAAGAAGCCACACACGCCAATGATGCAGAGGATGTTGAAGACAGCTGAGCCCACAATGGTCCCCACGCCGACATCGCCTTTGGTGATGAAAACCCCTGGGGAGAGAACGAGCCGAGACACACACACACACACACACACACACACACAGATATGGAAAATGAAAAGAGGAAAATGTTTAATACAAATGTTGAATCCTTTCAACAAAGTCTATGTAAAATAGGATTTTTATAACAAGGATGTAATAAGGTGAGGATAAGTTTTAGTTTGATAAGTAAAAGTTTTTGATATTGTTGTTTCACACAGAATTACAGTGAACACACCTGTGATGAAAGAAAAACAAACTCCATATGTGGCCTTTATGTTGGCTTAGATGGGATATTATTCAGTGCTGTGACTGTTTACTGCAGGTGCCATGGGATGATAACATTACTGTTAAACCTCGAATTAAAAGGCATATCTGCTTCCTCCCTGACACAGCTTACTGCACCATGCCTTTCAACAGAAGGAGAAGAAAGTGAGGGATGGATGCAGTAAACACTGCACCTATGATTGACGTGAAGAGCTCAGGAGCTGAGCTGCCAGCGGCCATGAAGGTGGCGCCTGCTACGTCCTCGCTGAGATTGAGACGCTGGGAGAGAGAAAGGGAGAGAGAAAAGAAGAGGAGACTCACATGAAGTTGAGTGAAATTTTCCCACAGGAAGTAGTGGCTGCTGTCACAAAATCCAGACTTAGTTTTAGACACAAACAGTAGCAGATCGGTCACTGAGCTGATCCTTAGGATCCACTCAAAGCTTTGTTTATTAAAAATAAATTCTGCTTTCTTTTCTAGTAAATCTGTGAATATGGATAAGATTTCATTAATATTCAAAAAGACAAATTTTAAGTTATTCCGGTACATGCACAAAGCCTTGGAGATGATATTTCAGTTTCAGCAGTTTTCTTTTCCTGCAGTGAAATCCAAAATGTATTTGACAGTTTTTGCATTAACATATGCTCCCTGAAACTAAAGATGTAAATACACAACACAACTTAATGTTTTTCTTTCAGATCTGTATGTGTAACCAGGATTAGTGTTACACTAATGTATTAAATGAGCACAAAGACAGTAATAGCCCTATTGTATGAAAGTATAAAGCCAAGAGTTTTTTTCCCCTAAGCTTTTTCTGACTGAAAGCTCTGGGGAAAGCAAGAAAGATAAGTTAGACTTGTTTGTCCAACTAGCAAGGAAGAGGAAGAAACAAAATTAAATATATTTCCTGAAAGTCCAAATTATTCCATTACGATGAAACCTGGTGGTTTTCATTTAAAAAGCGTGCTGCATAATACCTCACATATCTTCTCCATGGAGGGGACGAAGTAGTCATCACACACCAGAGCTAGGGCACAGAACATGTAAATGGTCTGTGGAAGGAAAAAGAGACAGAAACATTCAGGGATCAGTGATGTTGGTTTCATCATATCACAGAACAAGTGCTGATGTTTACTACCTTCACAAAATATCCCATTAAATTTAAATGATCATGAAAAAGGAAACAGGCCTACTAATTGAGGGCTACAGAGTCGGAGAGCTGATCCCATGCAAATGCATTTCACTACATTACTGTAACGATGATACATAAAAAATTCATAAATAACGTAACAACACTATTTACATTTTTAAATAGGGGACTTAGTTTTGACTTTTACTACATGCTGGCATTAAAAAGTAAACACTGTACCAGTTACTAGATACTCGTATACACATTTAGCCTTTTCTCCTACTGAAATTTACCATCTAGCCAAAACTAAATAACAATATCTGACACATAATAACATGATTTGTTGTATATTTGTTCACTAAATTATACATAAATCAGCTCAGCAGTCTCTTTACCCTTTGTTTTTTGTTTTTTTAAAGATACTCACACCTCTAACAAAATATGGATTTTCTCTCATCCCACTTTCAGGCAAAGTATCCACAGTTTGAAATCCACCAGGTCTCTGAACTTGAGAGCTTTTCGTTTACTAATAATGTATTTTCAAAGCAAGAATGACATGGTGAAAGAATATTCCTTCTTCCCTTTGTGCTCAGAACCGACAGTTCTTCTACTTCCTGTTTCTGAAAAGGTGTGTGTGTGTGTGTGTGT